ACATGTGCACACACAGGCAGACAGTCCAGCACCATGTGGGGCCTGCGGACTCCCTGGGTAACTAACAGGTTCTGCTCTGCTATAAGAGATCAGAAATGTTTTACTTATGAGACCCATTCATTCAATAGGGTCTCAAGGATTTGTGGACTAACATAGAGCCAAAGGGCATATTTCATAAATAGCTGATTTACACTTAAATTCAAGCCTTTTCCCCTTCCTCAAAGTTGGCTGATATTGAGTTTTAAGTATGAAATGTCACTGTTTTCATACTAATACTCCCAAACACGACCAGTTGTCATTTTGGCATTAAATAGGGTGCGACACTATAATGACATCAGCATGTTAACCTCCCTGTTCTGTGAATCGCTGCAGGTTCAAATTACCCTAGAAATGATCTTAAAAAAATTAACGGCACTGGCATCAAAGCCAGTTAGAACTGAGGGGTAACAGCAGCCACCCATTGCTGGGACCCTCTGCTGCGCTGGCGACTGATCCCCAAGAGAACACGCCGCAGGGCGGACCCCTCCCTGCGCACACACAAGTGAATGAAATGTGTGCTGAGCATTTTCTTCCCAAGATGCAAAGGACTTGGATAACATCCACCTGGGATGACACAAAGCAAAATGGTTTTCCTGTTTCTAATTACCGAATTGTTTACAAAACATTTTCCAATTAAAAAAAAGGCTTTACTAACAAAATAAGCAAACAAAATTGTTACAGACTCATAGACACAGAAAGTGGATTGGTGGTTGCCAGAGGGCATGGGGGTTGGAGGGCTGGGTGAGAAGGTGATGAGATTAAGTACAAATTGGTGGTTACAAAATAGTCGTGAGGGCACAGGGAACAGAGTCAGTGATATTGCAATAAATAGGTGCCAGGTGGAAACTAGACGTATCAGGAGAGCGCTCTGTAAAGTAAACAACGATCTAACCACTATGCTGCACACATGAAGCCAATGCAAAATAATACTGGAAGAAAACTTTAATTCAAAAAAAAAAAAAAAATAATGGCAAATGAGAAATAAGCTTCACCTACCTAGCATTGGTAGAGTATGTTGGGTTCCACATAAATAATTGCAAAGAAAGTATACTGTGTTATGTCCCCAAATGTCTTTTTTCATCTTTCCAGTGGAGTCCTTTAGAAATGTAAGTCAAAAGCCACGACGACACACCGCACGCGGCAGAAGGGCTATCATCAGAGGGTGCGAAGTGCGGGCGCGGGGAGCCGCCGGCTGGACTGCAGACCGGTGCCGCCCCGTGGAGAGCCGCATGCAGCTTCCTCAAAAACCGAGAAACAGACCTACCGTAGGACTCAGCAATTCCACTTCGGGGCATTTATTTGAAGAAAACAAAAACACTGACTAACAAATATGTATGCACCCTATTGTCATTGCAACACTATCCATGGCAGGCAGGACACGGAAACAAGCTAGGTGTCCATGCATAGAACGGAAGAGAAGATGTGTGTCTCTGTGTGTGTGTGTGTGTGTCTCTCTCTCTCTCTCTCTCTCTCTCACACACACACACACACACACACACACACACACAATGGACCGTTACACATCCATAAAAAGAGAATGTAACCTGGCAACCAGCACACGTGGATGGACCTCGAGGGCACTGTGCTGAGTGAAATGAGTCTGATAAGGACAAGCACCTATGGTGTCACTTATGTGTGGACTCCAGAAAATCAAACAGAACAGAACCAGACTCATAGAAACAGATCAAACTGACGGCTGCAGGAGGGCGGGGTGGGCGTGGCTGGAAAAATCAGGGGACAGAGCCAGTCATGCTGTGGTCATTGGCGCTTGGACAGGTGGCTCAGACTGAGTGTGGCGACCACACTGTAAGGGGTATGAATGTAGAAACACTAGATTGCACACCTGACACTAATATTGTATACCAACTACACTTAAATAAAAACTCTAACAGCCCTGGCCGGTTTGGCTCAGCGGTTAGAGCATTGGCCTGCGGTCCTGAGAGACCCAGGTTCGGTTCCCACTAAGGGCACGTACTTCGGTTGCAGTTTGTCCCCGGCCCTGGTTGGTCGTGCGGGTGGCAGCTACTCGATGTGTCCCTTTCCCGTCGATGTTTCTCTCTCTCTCTCTTCCTCTCTCTCCCTCCCACTCTATCTGTACAAAAAATGGAAAAATGTCCTCAGGTAAGGATAAAAAATAAAAAAAAAACTCTAACAAAAGCATCACCTGTGCCCTTGAATTCCCTGAAGAGAGTTCTGCTACGGCAGACCTGCAGAACTGTTCCAGAGGGGTGAAGCAGACTGGAACAGAACACACACCTAAGAATGAAACAATCTAGGGCTGAAGTTCCTCTTCTACTTGTAACACGTGAGATCTTGGAAAGGTTCCTCGCCCTCTCAGGGTTAGGTTTCCTCACCTTTTAAAAGAAAGGTTAATATCTAAATCACAAGATCACTTTTAGAATTAAAAAAAAAATGTCCAGGGAAGTTTGTCACAGCGCCTGGGAAAACAGAGGCTCGATGGGAAGGAGCCGCCGTTCTAGCTGGGGCTCCTTTCTGCTTGGATTCTGTCCGTTGGGCCATCGGGCCGGTGCTAAAGGGCCCCAACCCAGTGTTTGTCGAGTTGCTTTACTTCCAATGAAGGCTTTTTTTTTTTTTTTTTTTTTTGGTGTGTGCCCCTAGCGGGAACCGAACCTGGGTCTCTCTGGTCCGCAGCCTGATGGTCCAACCGCTGAGCCAAACCAGCCAGGGATCCAATAAAGGCTTTCTGATAGTTTAACTATAAAACTTGCTTCTTTTATTACCAAGTGTCTACCTTTAGCAGTCTCTTTGTAATTTTAATTTTAAGCGTTGGGTTGGGGAACCAGATGCTCATAGTTGACAGATGTAGCCAAAATTTGGGGCTACACAGAATTCAGAAACTGTCCTCCAAGAGTTAAAACTTTAAATAATCAACACACAGGAGGGAGAACCACCTCACAGACACAACAGCTCTCACTCCGGGAAGATTTTACTGGGGCCCAGTCTGAATGCTCGCACATTAGCTACAATGTTTCAGTGAGGGGTGAGTGTGCTCCACCCCGAGACACAGAGGAAGAGCCCAAGAGTGGCAGATACGGAAATGCCCAAGCCTCATCCAGGTGACTTTCCCGAAGGGACTTGAAGGAGTAAGACCCCGTTACCAAGACTCCTCGAGTGGAGCAGGGAGCTGTGTGATCAGAGAACTGTGTGGACGCCTTTGTCTGCTGTCGTGGGAGGGTGCTGGGGGCACCATGGAGCAAGCATGTTCCCAGGGTCCCCCAGGAGGCTGAGATGTGACAAAAAGCTTCACTTATGTGACGTGGTAGCCCTCTGTTTGCAAAGCCCCATTTCCTTTACATCGGTCCTGGAGGGGGTGACTCGGGACTTAGCAGGGCTAGAAGCAGAGCCAGTGTCCAAAGCCTCCCTTTGTGGTGGAGTCAAGTCCTGCACAGTAAGTGCCAGGCTGGTTCCAATCTGTCAGTCCATCGTGTGTGGGGTCCACACGGCCGTGAGCCACGTGGGCAACTGCAGGAGGGCGAGAGCCCCGCAGCCAGGACTCCAGTGCCAGCAGCAAGACAGTGAACCCAGAGGGCGAGACTTGTTCGCTCAGGAGTTTAAGTATCAAATCTTCCTGCGCTCCCGGTAGACATACCCGTTCTGGCCAAGGACTTGTTCCCAGGTGTGACTGACAGGTAGGCATCTCCCCACGTGGCCCACACCTTACTGGGTATGCGCCTCACCTGCCCGTCCAGGGCCTCCTGGGGGGACAGACCGGGGTGCTGAGCTGCAGGCTCCCGGCACAGCTCACAGACGGCACTGTCAGCTGGCCTCCCTGCTCCTTTCCTGAGTAACCAGTGACTGAAAGTTTCCAACACTACATTTATTTATTTTTCTTTATTGATTTTAGAGAGAGAAGGGAGAGGGAGAGATAGAAATGTCAATGAGACAGAACACTGATTGGCCGCCTCCTGCATGCCCCTCACTGGGGATCTGGCCCACAACCTGGGCATGAGCCCTGGCTGGGAACTGAACTGGCAATGGCAACCTCTTGGTACATGACTCAGCCACTGAGCCACACCTGCTGGGCTCCAACCCTAAGTTTATATGGAGTGAATTATTCCTGTACTGCAGTGTCAATCATTCATTTGTTCATTCAGTATTTATTGGGCAATCACTATTCTCGCTTGGCCCCTCCCACTTCCTTCCTTCTGCATCCATGCTCACCTTCTCGTTGTGCCTGGCTTCCTGGGCAGATCTCCCCACGGGGCAGATGGCCATGCAGAGATACTGGGCTCCTTCCCGGTGTGAGTTCATCAGTGGGCATCACTATTTCGCTGCATGTTAGTCTCACAAGCTTCGTGAAGAAGCATTTACCCACAAGTGATGAATTCACTTTCGTGTGTTGACAAAAGTTATCTAAGCCTAAAAATATAAGGTCTAGGCTATGACCAGGTAAATTTGCCCAGGTCGTAGGTATTCCCTTGGATCTCTGTGTGCAAAGTGTTGGGTTGGGTGTGTCCTTTCTGACACCGAATGCTGACAGCAGGCAGTGTGGTCCAGTGATCACGGGCAGGACCTGGGCTCGGAGCACCTGGCACCAACGCAGGTTTTCTCGTTACTCTGACTTCCCCGTGCTAAGTTATTTAAACTCTCCGAGCCTCTGCTTCCTCATCTATGAAACAGGATAGTAACGCCCTGTTTCACTCAGACTTGGTATTTACACAAGAGCAGCAAACTCGAAGATTTGTTACATCAAAAATGCCCCCGCCCCCGGCCATGCTTCCCAGCCCTCACTCAGAGGACCCTCTGCCGACCCTCTGCCGATCCGTGCCGCCTTCAGAGACACCGCCCCTGGGGGCCTCCAAACAGGGCTCTGCAGCTGCTGCCTGGCTCACGGCCTCCGCTCTCCTGAGACAGGAACTGCCTTCTGACAACAGTCTCAGAGAGCGTCGTCACAGGCGGGACCCACCCCACCCATCGTCCTTGCTGAATCCCTCCCGACTCCGAGATGGGCCGGCGGAACAGCCCTGCTCCAGGCCTCGTGCTCCGTCTGACACGAACATCCTTCCACACACACGCTGCTCCGCGACGGCACTGGCCACCTTGACTGCGCTCACAAGAACAACTCAGCACACGTGGAGAGATTTCCAAACAGGTGTTTTCCTGACCCAGTTAAATTTTTATTCCGTGAAAAAAAGTTGACATTGAGACAAAAATTATCATGAAATTGTGCAACAATATAGTAAAATCTTCAGCGTAAATCAGTGATTTGGAAATGTCTCAAGGCAACTGAAATCATAAATGCCTATTTTCACCTGGGAGAGAAACAAGTTACAGCATTTCGCTTTAAATAAGAGCAGAGTAGGTCGTTACTTTGCTGCAGGTACTTTTGATTTAAAGTTTCTAACAATTCATAACAAGATTCTTTAGAGAAATGACATGGAACGTGAGAGAACAGTCCCACTCCGGCGGTCACGCGTGCTCCGCCCGGGCCATCGCACAGGGGACGGCGCCCTGCTGAGGGCACCTGGCTGCTCTGCCTCATCCAGGAACCAGGGGCAGAAACATCACGGCCCCGCTCCCTCGAACCCCGTGCAGTGGAGACGCCCGTCAGAGAACACGTGTGTTGTCCTCGTGCCCAGTATGGACCTCTTGCTACCTGTTCCATATCTGCCTTGCATAGGAAGTATTCTATGTAAACTAAATGCACTTTATTACTCAAACACAGTACCTGAAAGGCAGTACACATGCCCAACACAAGTAAAGATTCTGCACAGTTTGGAATCAATTCCTAAAACCAGTGTGGAGGGAACATTCAGTTGGCTTATGTGACCCTGGATCTGTCTCTAAAGGACCTCCCAACTCTCTGCAGAAGGAAGAAAAAAATCTTCTCAGAGACTCACCATGACCCCTTCATGGGAAAGTGATCAGCCAAACCTGGTGGGGTGAGGTTTCCGCCCTACAAAAGTGCTGGGAACACGATCTTGCCCGATGGGGTGACTGCTGGGTGAGTGTCGGAAGGCAAGATTCTCCGCACAGAAGTGGCTGGTCACCTGTACAGGCCTCACCGGACCATCCCTCTCCCGAGCTCCCCCCAGGTGAAGTACAGCTCAGTCTGGTGGAGCACGCAGGATGGGCAGGAGACAACACACAGCTATGTCCCACACCCGCCACCACACACCCGAGTGGCCCCACCAGAGATGGAGCCCAGGAACCCATCTTCCCGAAGTCGGATCTGTGCACCAGCCGCCCAGTATCATCTCCTCAGCAACGACTCCCCAGCTTGCCCGGGCAGCCCGCAGGTCCTGGAGCTTCTCACACGTCTGGAAACACCCGCAGAGGTGGGGCTTCTCCCTGGAAGCTTCTAGAGAACCCTCCTGTCTGCCACTCTGTCCGCATGAACCCAAGTCTCCAAAGGCTCAAGGGCACTCATTCACAAAGGGGCAAAATCAGCTTCCAGGGGAAATGTGCACACAGTCACCCTGCCTGCCCAGTTCCCGTGGTGCGTTCTGGGTCACACGGACGGGCACTTCCAGGCTCTGGAGAGAATAAACCTAGTCCCTGGACAGTGTGCACATCTCCAACAAGGTTACAAAGGCCCCTTCTTCACAAACGATCAGGGGCTCCCACAGGTCTCCGAGAAGGTGACCCTCAGGTCCCTGTCAAAGACTGCAGTCCCTGTCTTCATCCCTGGTGCCACTCCAACCTCTGGCCTCTTGCAAACAGCATCCATACACCAAACCCCGAAAGCTATGCCGAGGGAAGAAAGAGTGCATGCTTCGAAACTTCATAAAAATATATAATTGACACACAGCCGCATCACTCTCGCTTAGTCTTCAGGAACTCAGCTCCCCTCTTCCGTGAGCGTCGAGCCCTGAAGGCTGCTTTTCCCTAAGCAGCGCAGCGCCGTCTTCCAAGGAGAGGTGGCGGCCAGTCCCAGTGCTGTGTACGAAGCCCTGGGAAGCACTGGGAACTACAACTGGACATGGAGCTGTCTCAGGTTGCCAACTGGAGACACAGGATAGAAAGCCTTGCCTACAGAACAACTGAAAATAAAGTTCCAGAGCCTTTCAGATCAGCTTTTACAATGTCACCAGAAAGCTGGCAGAAAAAGCAAAGAGGAAATATACTTCCTCGTGGTCCAACGAAATGATGCATGCACCCCACCAGACTGGTGGTCTTTCAGCTTACTGAACGTGGGGGGTGACAAGGCTCTGACTAACTCCAAGGTAAGGTAAGACAAAGACAAAGACACTCCAGTCTTAGAAAAACAACACAGGAGAGAGAGAAGTGACGCTGGAGGGAGGCTCATCATCACCACCCCTGGTCACCCACACGACATACTGGCCGTCTGCAGTCAGAAATGTGTCTACGCAGTGGGCAAACGCAGGTTTACAACTGTGAGTATGCAAAAGAGAGTTGATTCTTGTATTACTATTTATTAATTATTGTATTGTTTTCCACATAAACTGTAAACCGACTTTTGCTCCACCCTGTATTTAAACTGAAATGTAACTGGCTCTTTGTTTTCAAACAACCCCTAGGTGGAATGAATGTATACAAAACCCAACGACTCGCACAGAGACCTGGGAAGGCAAAGCACTGCATCTACGAGGAGACTGAGAGCAGGAAGCTGGGGTGGAAAGGACACATTCCAAAGCAGGGGTCTGGACCACCCCTGAGCTCACTGCTTCTCGGTGAACAGCCGGGCCATGAGGGGCTGCAGCGGGTCACAGCGATGCTCGGCCCCGGAGCCGGCACGACGCTCCATCTGCAGGTGGGCATCAGTCCACAGTGGATGCCACACACCTACCTACCAGCTTATTTTGTGGAGAGTGGCGTTGCTGCTACTGTGAACTGGACTGAATGATCTCAAATGCATAAACCTCCTTCATCGCTGTAAGAGTGAAGAGCACTTTCCCTTTAAATGGGCAGAGACGTGGGCAAGGAAGGTGGAAGAAAATAAAAACAGAGAAGGCACCGACCCAATTCAAAATGCCTGCACATGTCAGCATGAATGGTGAAGGACAAGTGGTTACCTGAACACAAACACAAAACTTCACATCTGAGATTCTGCAGTGGTAAGGAAAAACAAAACTGGAAATGTAGGCACTACATTTGCCGATGTATCTACCATGGCACAGATCTGAACTCTCTCCCACAACGGAGACACTTTCTGCAGGGACAATGACACCGTGCATACAAAGTAGCAGTATCCTCTGCACTGTGTATACAAAGTAGCGACACCATGCACACAAAGTAGCGATATCCTCTGCACTGTGTATACAAAGTAGCGATATCCTCTGCACTGTGTATACAAAGTAGCGACACCGTGCACACAAAGTAGCGATATCCTCTGCACTGTGTATACAAAGAAGCGGTATCCTCGTGGCTCCGAAAGCCCGTCTTGCACAGAGGCAGACACAAGATTCCGTCAATTCCATGAGGGGAAGCAGCTGCTTTCAGGGCTTCTGGAGCTGCAGGTCCATGAACTGCAGTGGAGCGAGGCCTCACAGCCCTCGCCTGCCAAACACCATCACGTGGCACGTGGTAGTAAACACGGCGCGCTTCCAGAGGGCCACAAGCCGCTCGTGCTCCCCGCCCCTCGCACTGTGGGCTTGGAACATGTGCGGCATCAGATGACCTGAGGCCGTGCCTCATACAGAATCCCAATAAATTAACAAAAGAACATATGAGAACCTTCCCCACCAAACACTTTCACAGACATGAAACCCAAACAAAATTTAAAATGTGCAGCATACATTCCAGAGGAGGGATTCTACCCACCACACTATCTTGAAGTTTTTATTAAATACATTTCTGTGTCTTAGAAAAATAAAAAGAATGGTCAATTTATCAAACCAAAATTATCTCACCGACTTGGAAGCACGTCCAGCAAGCACAGCCCTGTCAGACTACATTACTATCAAATAGAAGCAATCTGGTGACTGAAGTCGACCTGGTTTGAAATTCACAGTTGATTACTACAAAGTCTATTCATTCTTTTCTTTCTTTTTCTTTTTTTTTTTTGTTTTGTTTTTGGCCCATATAAAAATAACATATTGCAACTCAAAGTGCATCTTTTAAAATAAACCATCAACTATCTTTATCAAATAAAATATTTACACCATTTGGTTTCTAGTGAGACAAGAAGCTGTCAGGCGATCACCATGGGGACGTCGTCGGAAAATCCAGTTATCATTGGAGTGTCTTCATCGTCCTCTCCTAAAAGCAGAAGAGACAGTGCTCAGTGAGGTCCGGTGCACGGCGTCCGGCCCCCTCCCACCACGGTGCCCTTCTCCTCAATGCCCACAAGCCCTGGCGGGCACAGCAGTCAGTGCTGAAACCCAGCCCCGCTTTGCTCTGATACCCGAGTCACCTTCTCCGATTCAACAGGAGGCCAGGCTCATTTTAATAATAGCTTGAACTTAACCAAGTAAGTAAATTTGATCTTTTAGGAAGGAGAATCTTACTACCTACTTAGAAGTCCATGGGTGTTTTACATGCCCCAAATTGAGTGACCCACATCCTATGTTGGCACAGTGAACTAACTGTTTGTTTTCTCCTTTGCAGCCACAATGTTCTACGGAAAAGGAGCTCAGAGAGGTTCGTGTGTTCTGAGGACAGCCTCCCAGCCTAACGGCTGTGCCCTCCTGGCCTTCAGTGATCACGCCTGCATGGCACCACAATGCAATGGCTCCTTCCGCCCCAGGCACAGAAGCAAGAACACACTCCATTCATGCAAGACAGACCAAGAACTTCTAATAAACAGACCAAGAACTTCTAATAAAGCAAGAAAAGAACTGAGAAGCAAACAGCTAATATGAAAGGGTCGGTGAATGGGAATATACAAATATCTTTACAAACAAAAAAATCAGAATTAGTTTACAGAAAAAAAAAATGACTAGGCAAACTCACCTTCAGCAATCTGAGTGTGGAGAAGCCGAAGTTTGGGGCAGGGTCCCACACACACCCACGCTTTGTATAAAATGGTCTACTAGCTCAGAGAGTGTTTGTGACGTGGGCGTGCAGATGTTTATAAAAGGGACATTGCCTTCTCTTCCCCCATCTCTGCGTCATCAACATGAACAGAAGAAGGACCAGTGAGGCTGCATAACCACCAGAAAGGAAACCGCAGGATGGAAAGAGTGTCTTTGGACAGAAGCTGTTGCGACAGCGTGGGTTTTGTCCCGGCTGGGCTGTCCAGAGACACCGGACCTCCAGGTCTCAGAACGATGAGAGGAGTCAGACGTTTCTGAGAACCTGCCAATACTTTGGGAGAACTCAAAGCCCAGGGCCAAGCTACCTGCCTATACAAGGCAAGCTCCCAGCTGTGCTCCCACAAAACCGCACGCTGTCTCGGGCCGGACCACACGACTGAAGAGAACACACATACTTTCACTCGGGAACAAATTCAAAGCAAAGGACTCTGACTGGTTAACCCAACAAGGCGGGATTGTTGGTTAATGTATAACCCCTCCAGAGTCAAAAGAAGGGCTTAATGTAGGTACTTCCTCACCAAGGCCCTGGCTCTGTGGGGTCCTGGCAGGGAGAACATACCCAGGTCATCCCCCGAGGAGAAGATGGCCGCGCCCAGCCTGGAGCTGTAGTGGCTGTTGGCGAAGGCGGTGAAGCTGTTCTGCAGCCTCCGATGCTTTGTATACAGCACAGCGAAGCCGGCCCCCAGGCCCAGAAGTATCAGGAACAAGACGGGCACCACCACGGCAGCCACGTCGGTAGGTCTGGCAGCTTGCAGAGCTGATGCATCCTCACCTGCCAAGGGAAGACGCCAGCCCGTGAGCCCCAGAGTGACGGCAAGGAAAGGACCAAGCAGCTCCTGAGCACCCCAACCCCTAAACACCTGGAAGTCTGCAGCGCCCACCCAGCCGCCTACCTGCTGCGCGTGTTCCTCATGTGATGGCCAGATGTTCCCGGATGCTGGCCCTGAGCAGACAGACCACAGGCCTTGTGTGTGCAACTGTGGTGATTCTATCAGACTCCCAGCCACTGCCTTGTTGCTTACTCTTGGAAGGGAGACCTTTGTTGGGGCATCAACACTGATTTAATTAGCATCACTACTTACAGCCACTAGCTTACCTTACAGAGGAGAAGATGAAATCAGACCACAAACTACTGAGGAAGCAATCGCTTCCCCTCCTTAGCCCCAGGGTCCCTGCACTGCCACCGCTGAAGCTCACAGGGTCTCACGAGGTTGCTTACTCAGATAAAACAGGGCAGGAGGACCTTGCCACGTACATTTCACACGTTTCAAAACCTCTTTGCAAAGCCATTTAACTGTCTAAAACCTAACACTGATGCCTGCCCCCACCACTGTCTAAAACCAGTGCTAGCTTTAGGATCATCAACAGGGCTGTAGGACAGCAATTCTCAACCGGGGTGCTGCACAGATTTCTAAGCATGTAACACCTGACTATTCACTTGAATAGTCAGGTGCACTGACCACTTTTCCCCTGGACTGTCAAATAAAAATATGACAGCTGCCAACACAACAGCTATCTGGTGTGCATGAATCAAAATAATACCTGTTTTTTTGTTTTGTTTTTTGAGATCAGCAAAAAATATAACATTTTTTGGTGTGCCACAGAATTTCAGCAATTAGCTTATGAGTGCCATGCAATGAAACAGGCAGAAAGTCAGTCTCAGGAAAGCCATCCCCGTGTCAGGTTAGGGCCAGTCTTTCTGAGGGGAGATTTTCACGTCAAGAATGCTGGGGAAAGCCTGAGCCAAGCTGGCAAAGGGAACCTGGGGGCCGAGGAAGCAAAGGAGACGCTCTAGGCCTGGAAGGCGTGGCCGTCGGCTCGAGGCTCTGCAAGGACCACACTGACGGCCTCACCGGCCCAGCCTCGGGACGGAGCTGCGGGTCCACGGGACTCTCGCCATGGGACTCTGAGGGATGGGCACAGGGCCTTTCCCGTGAGCTGAGTCTCACAACTCAATATTGGCATCTTCAATTTCTTTCATTAAGGACTTAGTTCAAAAAATACTTATTTCATGTTTCTCAAGCTAATCCTGCCTGCGCAGTGGTAAGCTAGGGGATGCTCCTGGCAGAAGCAGTTGCTGGTTGGTTTACGTAAAAGGCTCAATTCAAGAAACAGTTCGAAAGAGCTTTGTTGTTAGTTTTCTTGAGAACATTTTCAGAACATAAATTACGTCTTGATTTCCATAGAAACAACGGATGCAAGGTTTCCTTCCTTTAGATAGTACCATGGGTAACATTCGGCTAGAATAAACCCAGGGACACAAGGTACAAAGAATAATTACTGCACTAGAATACTCCCTAAGACACAGGGCACCCAGGATAAGTACTCCACCAGAACACACCGTGGACACAGGGTACCCAGGATAAGTACTCCACCAGAACACACCGTGGACACAGGGTACCCAGGATAAGTACTCCACCAGAACACACCGTGGACACAGGGTACCCAGGATAAGTACTCCACCAGAACACACCCTGGACACAGGGTACCCAGGATAAGTACTCCACCAGAACACACCGTGGACACAGGGTACCCAGGATAAGTACTCCACCAGAACAGACCGTGGACACAGGGCACCAGGATAAGTACTCCACCAGAACACACCGTGGACACAGGGTACCCAGGATAAGTACTCCACCAGAACACACACTGGACACAGGGCACCAAGGATAAGTACTCCTCCAAAACGCACCCTGGGCACAGGGCACCAGGATAAGTACTCCTCCAGAACACACTTTGGACACAGGACACCCAGGATAAGTACTCCTCCAGAACACACCCTGGACACAGGGCACCAGGATAAGTACTCCTCCAGAACACATACTGGACACAGGGCACCAGGATAAGTACTCCTCCAGAACGCACCCTGGACACTGGCACCCAGGATTTGTACTCCACCAGAAGACACCCTGGGCACAGGACACCCAGGATAAGTACTCCTCCAGAACATACCCTGGGCACAGGGCACCCAGGATAAGTACTCCTCCAGAACACACCCTGGGCACAGGGCACCCAGAATAAGTAGTCCTCTAGAACACACCCTGGGCACAGGGCACCAGGATAAATACTCCTCCAGAACACACCCTGGATACACGGCACCAGGATAAGTACTCCTCCAGAACACACCCTGGACACAGGGCACCCAGGATAAGTACTCCTCCAGCACACACCCTGGGCACAGGGCACCACGATAAGTACTCCTCCAGAACACACCCTGGGCACAGGGCACCCAGAATAAGTACTCCTCCAGAACACACCCTGGACACAGGGCACCAGGATAAGTACTCCTCCAGAACACACCCTGGGCACAGGGCACCCAGGATAAGTACTCCTCCAGAACACACCCTGGGCACAGGGCACCCAGAATAAGTACTCCTCCAGAACACACCCTGGGCACAGGGCACCAGGATAAGTACTCCTCCAGAACACACCCTGGGCACAGGGCACCCAGGATAAGTACTCCTCCAGAACACACCCTGGGCACAGGGCACCCAGGATAAGTACTCCTCCAGAACACACCCTGGGCACAGGGCACCCAGAATAAGTACTCCTCCAGAACACACCCTGGGCACAGGGCACCAGGATAAGTACTCCTCCAGAACACACCCTGGACACAGGGCACCCAGGATGAGTACTCCTCCAGCACACACCCTGGGCACAGGGCACCCAAGATAAGTACTCCTCCAGCACACACCCTGGGCACAGGGCACCCAGGATAAGTACTCCTCCAGAACACACCCTGGACACAGGACACCCAGGATTTGTACTCCTCCAGAACACACCCTGGACACAGGGCACCAGGATAAGTACTCCTCCAGAACACACCCTGGACACTGGCACCCAGGATAAGTACTCCTCCAGAACACACCCTGGGCACAGGGCACCCAGAATAAGTACTCCTCCAGAACACACCCTGGGCACAGGGCACCAGGATAAGTACTCCTCCAGAACACACCCTGGGCACAGGGCACCCAGGATAAGTACTCCTCCAGAACACACCCTGGGCACAGGGCACCAGGATAAGTACTCCTCCAGAACACACCCTGGGCACAGGGCACCCAGAATAAGTACTCCTCCAGAACACACCCTGGACACAGGGCACCAGGATAAGTACTCCTCCAGAACACACCCTGGGCACAGGGCACCCAGGATAAGTACTCCTCCAGAACACACCCTGGACACAGGGCACCAGGATAAGTACTCCTCCAGAACACACCCTGGACACAGGGCACCAGGATAAGTACTCCTCCAGAACACACCCTGGGCACAGGGCACCCAGGATAAGTACTCCTCCAGAACACACCCTGGGCACAGGGCACCAGGATAAGTACTCCTCCAGAACACACCCTGGGCACAGGGCACCCAGAATAAGTACTCCTCCAGAACACACCCTGGACACAGGGCACCAGGATAAGTACTCCTCCAGAACACACCCTGGGCACAGGGCACCCAGGATAAGTACTCCTCCAGAACACACCCTGGGCACAGGGCACCCAGAATAAGTACTCCTCCAGAACACACCCTGGGCACAGGGCACCAGGATAAGTACTCCTCCAGAACACACCCTGGGCACAGGGCACCCAGGATAAGTACTCCTCCAGAACACACCCTGGGCACAGGGCACCAGGATAAGTACTCCTCCAGAACACACCCTGGGCACAGGGCACCCAGAATAAGTACTCCTCCAGAACACACCCTGGGCACAGGGCACCCAGGATAAGTACTCCTCCAGAACACACCCTGGGCACAGGGCACCAGGATAAGTACTCCTCCAGAACACACCCTGGGCACAGGGCACCCAGAATAAGTACTCCTCCAGAACACACCCTGGACACAGGGCACCAGGATAAGTACTCCTCCAGAACACACCCTGGGCACAGGGCACCCAGGATAAGTACTCCTCCAGAACACACCCTGGGCACAGGGCACCCAGAATAAGTACTCCTCCAGAACACACCCTGGGCACAGGGCACCAGGATAAGTACTCCTCCAGAACACACCCTGGGCACAGGGCACCCAGGATAAGTACTCCTCCAGAAACACACCCTGGGCACAGGGCACCCAGAATAAGTACTCCTCCAGAACACACCCTGGGCACAGGGCACCAGGATAAGTACTCCTCCAGAACACACCCTGGGCACAGGGCACCAGGATAAGTACTCCTCCAGAACACACCCTGGGCACAGGGCACCCAGAATAAGTACTCCTCCAGAACACACCCTGGGCACAGGGCACCAGGATAAGTACTCCTCCAGAACACACCCTGGACACAGGGCACCCAGGATAAGTACTCCTCCAGAACACACCCTGGACACAGGGCACCAGGATAAGTACTCCTCCAGAACACACCCTGGACACAGGGCACCAGGATAAGTACTCCTCCAGAACACACCCTGGGCACAGGGCACCCAGGATAAGTACTCCTCCAGAACACACCCTGGGCACAGGGCACCCAGAATAAGTACTCCTCCAGAACACACCCTGGGCACAGGGCACCAGGATAAGTACTCCTCCAGAACACACCCTGGGTACAGGGCACCCAGGATAAGTACTCCTCCAGCACACACCCTGGGCACAGGGCACCAGGATAAGTACTCCTCCAGAACACACCCTGGGCACAGGGCACCCAGGATAAGTACTCCTCCAGCACACACCCTGGGCACAGGGCACCCAGAATAAGTACTCCTCCAGAACACACCCTGGGCACAGGGCACCCAGAATAAGTACTCCTCCAGACACACCCTGGGCACAGGGCACCAGGATAAGTACTCCTCCAGAACACACCCTGGGCACAGGGCACCCAGAATAAGTACTCCTCCAGAACACACCCTGGACACAGGGCACCAGGATAAGTACTCCTCCAGAACACACCCTGGGCACAGGGCACCCAGGATAAGTACTCCTCCAGAACACACCCTGGACACAGGGCACCAGGATAAGTACTCCTCCAGAACACACCCTGGACACAGGGCACCAGGATAAGTACTCCTCCAGAACACACCCTGGGCACAGGGCACCCAGGATAAGTACTCCTCCAGAACACACCCTGGGCACAGGGCACCCAGAATAAGTACTCCTCCAGAACACACCCTGGGCACAGGGCACCAGGATAAGTACTCCTCCAGAACACACCCTGGGTACAGGGCACCCAGGATAAGTACTCCTCCAGCACACACCCTGGGCACAGGGCACCAGGATAAGTACTCCTCCAGAACACACCCTGGGCACAGGGCACCCAGGATAAGTACTCCTCCAGCACACACCCTGGGCACAGGGCACCAGGATAAGTACTCCTCCAGAACACACCCTGGGCACAGGGCACCAGGATAAGTACTCCTCCAGAACACACCCTGGGCACAGGGCACCCAGGATAAGTACTCCTCCAGAACACACCCTGGGCACAGGGCACCCAGAATAAGTACTCCTCCAGAACACACCCTGGGCACAGGGCACCAGGATAAGTACTCCTCCAGAACACACCCTGGGCACAGGGCACCAGGATAAGTACTCCTCCAGAACACACCCTGGGCACAGGGCACCCAGAATAAGTACTCCTCCAGAACACACCCTGGACACAGGGCACCAGGATAAGTACTCCTCCAGAACACACCCTGGGCACAGGGCACCCAGGATAAGTACTCCTCCAGAACACACCCTGGACACAGGGCACCAGGATAAGTACTCCTCCAGAACACACCCTGGACACAGGGCACCAGGATAAGTACTCCTCCAGAACACACCCTGGGCACAGGGCACCCAGGATAAGTACTCCTCCAGAACACACCCTGGGCACAGGGCACCCAGAATAAGTACTCCTCCAGAACACACCCTGGGCACAGGGCACCAGGATAAGTACTCCTCCAGAACACACCCTGGGTACAGGGCACCCAGGATAAGTACTCCTCCAGCACACACCCTGGGCACAGGGCACCAGGATAAGTACTCCTCCAGAACACACCCTGGGCACAGGGCACCCAGGATAAGTACTCCTCCAGAACACACCCTGGGCACAGGGCACCAGGATAAGTACTCCTCCAGAACACACCCTGGGCACAGGGCACCCAGAATAAGTACTCCTCCAGAACACACCCTGGGCACAGGGCACCCAGAATAAGTACTCCTCCAGAACACACCCTGGGCACAGGGCACCAGGATAAGTACTCCTCCAGAACACACCCTGGGCACAGGGCACCCAGGATAAGTACTCCTCCAGAACACACCCTGGGCACAGGGCACCAGGATAAGTACTCCTCCAGAACACACCCTGGGCACAGGGCACCCAGAATAAGTACTCCTCCAGAACACACCCTGGGCACAGGGCACCAGGATAAGTACTCCTCCAGAACACACCCTGGACACAGGGCACCCAGGATGAGTACTCCTCCAGCACACACCCTGGGCACAGGGCACCCAAGATAAGTACTCCTCCAGCACACACCCTGGGCACAGGGCACCCAGGATAAGTACTCCTCCAGAACACACCCTGGGCACAGGGCACCCAGAATAAGTACTCCTCCAGAACACACCCTGGACACAGGGCACCAGGATAAGTACTCCTCCAGAACACACCCTGGGCACAGGGCACCCAGGATAAGTACTCCTCCAGCACACACCCTGGGCACAGGGCACCCAGGATAAGTACTCCTCCAGAACACACCCTGGGCACAGGGCACCCAGAATAAGTACTCCTCCAGAACACACCCTGGACACAGGGCACCAGGATAAGTACTCCACCAGAACACACCCTGGACACAGGGCACCAGGATAAGTACTCCTCCAGAACACACCCTGGGCACAGGGCACCCAGAATAAGTACTCCTCCAGAACACACCCTGGACACAGGGCACCAGGATAAGTACTCCACCAGAACACACCCTGGACACAGGGCACCAGGATAAGTACTCCACCAGAACACACCCTGGGCACAGGGCACCAGGATAAGTACTCCTCCAGAACACACCCTGGGCACAGGGCACCCAGAATAAGTACTCCTCCAGAACACACCCTGGACACAGGGCACCAGGATAAGTACTCCACCAGAACACACCCTGGACACAGGGCACCAGGATAAGTACTCCTCCAGAACACACCCTGGACACAGGGCACCAGGATAAGTACTCCTCCAGAGCACACCCTGGACACACGGCACCAGGATAAGTACTCCTCCAGAACACACCCTGGACACAGGGCACAAGGATAAGTGCTCCTCCAGAACATACCCTGGACACAGGACACCCAGGATAAGTACTCCTCCAGAACACACCCTGGACACAGGACACCCAGGATAAGTACTCCTCCAGAACACACCCTGGACACAGGACACCCAGGATTTGTACTCCTCCAGAACACACCCTGGGCACAGGGCACCAGGATAAGTACTCCTCCAGAACACACCCTGGGCACAGGGCACCAGGATAAGTACTCCTCCAGAACACACCCTGGGCACAGGACACCAGGATAAGCACTCCTCCAGAACACACCCTGGACACAGGGCACCAGGGTAAGTACTCCTCCAGAACACACCCTGGACACACGGTACCAGGATAAGTACTCCTCCAGAACACACCCTGGACACAGGACACCAGGATAAGCACTCCTCCAGAACACACCCTGGGCACAGGGCACCCAGAATAAGTACTCCTCCAGAACACACCCTGGACACAGGGCACCAGGATAAGTACTCCTCCAGAACACACCCTGGGCACAGGGCACCCAGGATAAGTACTCCTCCAGAACACACCCTGGGCACAGGGCACCCAGAATAAGTACTCCTCCAGAACACACCCTGGGCACAGGGCACCAGGATAAGTACTCCTCCAGAACACACCCTGGACACAGGGCACCACGATAAGTACTCCTCCAGAACACACCCTGGACACACGGCACCAGGATAAGTACTCCTCCAGAACACACCCTGGGCACAGGGCACCCAGAATAAGTACTCCTCCAGAACACACCCTGGGCACAGGGCACCAGGATAAGTACTCCTCCAGAACACACCCTGGACACAGGGCACCACGATAAGTACTCCTCCAGAACACACCCTGGACACACGGCACCAGGATAAGTACTCCTCCAGAACACACCCTGGACACAGGACACCAGGATAAGCACTCCTCCAGAACACACCCTGGACACAGGGCACCAGGATAAGTACTCCTCCAGAACACACCCTGGACACAGGGCACCACGATAAGTACTCCTCCAGAACACACCCTGGGTACAGGGCACCCAGGATAAGTACTCCTCCAGCACACACCCTGGGCACAGGGCACCCAGGATAAGTACTCCTCCAGCACACACCCTGGGCACAGGGCACCCAGGATAAGTACTCCTCCAGAACACACCCTGGGCACAGGGCACCCAGGATAAGTACTCCTCCAGAACACACCCTGGGCACAGGGCACCCAGGATAAGTACTCCTCCAGCACACACCCTGGGCACAGGGCACCCAGGATAAGTACTCCTCCAGCACACACCCTGGGCACAGGGCACCCAGGATAAGTACTCCTCCAGAACACATCCTGCATACAAGGTACAAGAGACCATAGAACATCTAGCAAATATTCTGGCTCGAACACTGGTTAGTTATTGGCTGGGAGTAAATGAAATAAAACGACATAGGGAAGATGTCTGCTGAATCCCGGCCAAGTTCTATGAAACAGCACCATGTCCGTAGAAGGTCCCTCTGTTCTGCTTCCATGTGACGCCACATCCGTGAGGTCCACAGACAGATCCCAGGCCCAATCTGGTCTTCGCCGGGCCCCCGCGGGACAAGGGGCATCTGGAAAGCCCTTCCTCCATAAAAGGAGTTTATTAGTAGCTTGGGTGGGTCATAGGGGACCTGAGTATAACTGAGGCTCTGAAATGTCTCCCAAACAGAACCTCGTTTTTGAACAGAGCCTGCTTTCCCTTCTTTGGACATTACGTTCAAGATGTGGGCACCTCGTAATCCCAGCTCCTCACACCATGCCTGGCTCCGGAAGGGTTTTAACAAGTCAGTGCCTGATTAAACTGACAGATAAATGACGTTCTTTGAACTGAAATAATTATTACTTTTTAATTTTCACCCGAGGATATTCCTCCATTTATCTTCAGACAGAGTGGGGGAGAGAGAGAGAGAGAGAGAAACATCAATGCAAGAAACACATCGACTGGTTGCCTCCCACATGAGCCGACCGGGGCCAGGGATCGAACCTGCAACACGGGCATGTGCCCTTGACCGGGAATTGAACCCACGAGTCTTTGTTCCACAGGCCAACACTCCAACCACTGAGCCAAACAGGCCAGGGCTGAAAGAATTATTTTAAATGCATTTTAGAAAATCACATTTTCTTCCAGCCCCGCTACATCCTGGATGCATTTCCCCAGAAACAGACAGAAAGGAGCAGCAACCGCCACTTACCGGACTCCAAGTCGTCATACAGAAGGACAGCAGGCTCCCCACAGATCTGGCTGCCGAAAAGGCAGCTCGCTTGGACGGCGAAGGTATAATTATGGCCCAGTTTCAGGCTGGAAACTTTAAAGAAGTTGTCGGTAGTATTCCCCAGGTAAGCCGTGGCGTTCACGGTGTTGTCGTACATGTGGATCTCGTAGCCCTGGAACAGACACGGAGAAGCCTCAGGAGCGGGAGGTCAGCGGCCTTGAAACACAGAGTGCGCCAGCAGGCTCTGGAGGAGGTGTGGACAAATGAGCTCGCTGTTCAGACTGGCTCGGGGAGAGTTCTGCACCCCTGTGCGGAAAGCCACCCTTGGGACAGCACTGACCAGCATGCTGGGGGAGCAGCGTGAACCTCCGGCCTTCTGCTGCTGCCCCCCTGATCCAGTCTACCCCCACCACACACAGCGGTCACCGGCTCCCGGCCCCCGTCCACCGACCTGTCTGTTCCCGGAACTCTAGGCCGGGGAGCAAAGGGGCAGTGTTCCTGCCAGGACCCACGGGCAGTGGGCTGGGCTGCGTCTGCCACCTGGACGCTGGGCTTCGGCCCTGGCCGGTCTGGCTCAGCCATTAGAGCGTCGGCCTGTGGACCAGAGAGTCCCGGTTCGGTTCCCGCTAAGGGCAAGAACCTCAATTACAGTTTGTCCCTGGCCCCAGTCGGGTCGTGTGGGTGGCAGCCACTCGATGTGTCTCTCTCACATTGATGTTTCTCTCTCTCTCTTCCTACATCTCTCCCTCTCACTCTATCTGAAGATAAATGCAAAATAAATAAGTAATAAATAAGTAAACACATACATACATACATACATACATACATAAATAAAAGCTGGGCTTCGGCCACCCAGAAAGGACGCCGACAACAGCGGCTGCCAAACCAAGACTCCTAAACCACCTGCCTGGATTCCCATCTCCTTCTTCTTTATACACGAACTTTCATGATTTTCCTGCCCAATACAGATTCTGTGCACATTTGCAAAATACATAAAGGTATAAACTAAAAACGTGAAACACACAAACATCAATCACCCTAATTGATTTAACCAGTCCTCTTCATCGGGCATCCAGGCCCTCCCTTCCTCGCTATCGTCCACACACTGCCCTGAACAGCCCTGAGCAGAAATTCTTCACGCACGTGGCTGCCGTGGAGCAAAAGGAGAGGACTGCTTGCCAGAGGCGGTGAACACTTTCATTTTTTTTTATCCTCACCCGAGGACATATTTTCATTCTTTTGTTCAGATAGAGTGGGAGGGAGAGAGAGGAAGAGAGAGAGAAACATTGATGTGAAAGGGACACATCGAGTGGCTGCCACCCGCATGACCAACCAGGGCTGGGGACAAACTGCAACCGAGGTACGTGCCCTTAGCGGGAACCGAACCCGGGTCTCTCTGGACTGCAGGCCGACGCTCCAACCGCTGAGCCAAACCGGCCAGGGCAGCTGTGAACACTTTTAATATTTCTGATACGTGCTACCTAAGTGCCTTACAGAGGTTGAAGTGATTCATACGCCCAGAGCACGAAGCACCCAACGGGTCCTCACGCTGGTTCCCGCCACCCCGAGCTCCAAGTTCACCTGCAGGGCCACCCCTTTGTTGCTTCGGGAACCAGTGAGATTGAACTCTTATTCTTCTACTTCCTGCTGCTGGAATTTTTTACTGTGTTACCTGTATGTACCTTTTACAAGACTAGAATATTTCTGTTTGGAATGGCTAGGAAAGCCTTCTTTATATTTAAGGGTATTAACCGTCTATCATACTTGTGAGAGCTGTGAAAACCTCTACTTCAGCTTTGCTTCTGACAGCCCTCTGTGACGACGAGCACCGAGCTCGGCCAGCACCCTGCCCGGAGCCCAGGGGCTGTGTGTTTAGCTCATGCTTTCCTGGCACCTGAGTGCAAATCGACCCTCGGGGGCTCCCCTCCTCTCGCAGGCTGTGAACAGAGGAACTGGTCCGCCGACAGCCGACAAACACGTGTTCCTCACGCGTCTCACACTCCCTTCGGTGCGTCCTGCCCTGGACTTCCCTGGGAAGAACTGCGGAGATGCCGGGAGCGGCGTGCGCTCAGCACCCGCGAGGCCGCAGCTGGCCCGGCCATCTGGAGAGCGGGCAGGGGCACCAGCCCACCCGTCTCCCAGGGGAGAAGGTTCAGGACTGAACAGCGCAAAGATCCCAACATTCCGCGCATCGGCAATCCCACGGAAATCGCGCCCCTGCCTCACGCTTTCTCTTCCCTTTGTCCAGGCTAACACGCCGCAATGAGCTCACCCCTGAAGCGGCAGTTCAGCTGGATTTTCAAACTCACTGGGGAGGGGGAGGAACTTACCCTGCTTTCCTGGAAATACTTTTCCTTCAAAGCTAGACTTTTCCAAAACAGAAGAATGTGGTCATTTTCCGTGATGATTTTTAAGGCATCGGGTGCTGACAATGAAACTGAAAATTAAAAATGAAACAGGATGCAGTTAGTGGCCATGTAGCTGAGTGCTGTTTCTCATGTCAAAGGGAGAGAACATAATGCCAACCTTGAAGGGTCACATTCACTTAAGGAAGAGACAGAACATAGCACAAGGCCAGCACATGGTAGAGACTCTTCAACAGGCGTCTCCTTTGTTGCTGTCATTCCTTAGCAAAAGTCTGGACAGCATCTAGTCTAGCAGCCCTCAGACTGAAGGACAGCCACAACCAGGCGGGTGGGCCGGAGGGGGAGCGGAATGGGTTGTACCAGGACTTCACTGCTTCCAGCCTGCCTCCCCGCTCTCCTGGGTCCTGCCCCAGAGCCAAGTGCCGCAGAGCTCAGGGAGGGGCTGGAGCACTCTGCCGGCCAGAGCCCTGGAGGGCCCCAAGCACGGCCCTGTTCACACTGACCGCCTCATCGCTGCCACCACCCGAATAACCGAGCCACAGGAGCCACTGTGACTCAGTCCAGGCCCTGAGCAACGCTGGGCTTGCAGACAACGCTCAGAGTTATTTCCTAACTCTCTCGGGCATTTCTCCTGTTCCCCAGAAGTGTCCCAACCTGCTAGCGTAGAGACTGGAAGAGGGAATATGGACATCACAGCCCCTCCCCAGTCACAGTGCCCTGACTGCAGCCAGACAGGGACCCCGCATGGCTCCGCCCCAGTACGGACCCTGCAGGGAAGGGTCCGCTGCTCCCTCTGCCGCTCACCTGCGGTGATTTTCACACTGGACTCTTTGCTCATGTTCCCCAGCTGGACGATGACATGGTATTTCCCCCCAGGTTCCAACTTGTTCAGGGTGTATTCCACAGTACTGTTCCGGGACTTCACTTTGTAGCTCCTGTCGCTCTTTCTTATGAGATCTTTGACGGCAATTGCATACAACTGAGACAAAAAAAAGGTAAGCAGAAAGGCGTCCTTCTTCCCCTTGTAGGTCAACGGAGGGCAGCTCATCGTGGCTGTGACCCTCAGCAACAGCATTTACGCGCCGAGTCCGCCTCTGCTCTTCGGGAAGCCGTGGGCGGCCAGAGCCAACCTCACGAGCACTCACCCCTGGAACTGTGCACAGAGCTATCAGTTCAACCCACAAAGCAGGTCTTGGGAAAGCCGTATTTGTTGTGGTGCCCGCGGGTGGAGAGAAACAGGCAAAGAAAACTCAGATTTCGCTTCTGCATCTCCACCCCCGTTATCGTTTGGGATGCTGTCGGAGGTCATCAACGGCTGGGTCCGAGGACAGAGAGCTTCCTTCTCCTCAGCCTCTCCCAGGCTGCTCTTGCATACATGGGGGAGGGGCAACAAAGGGGCGGGTGACTGCAGTACACTCGCTCCCCAGGAAGAAGCTGAGGGACAGGGACAGTCGTAGTAACCCAGCGATAAGTGCCACATGGACTGGGCGGGGCAGGGCAGGGAGCAAAAAGGTAAAGGCAGCCTGGGGCAAGAAGAAAGAAATGTTTTCTAGATTCAGTGCCTCTTCTTGTAGGCAGGGCCAGCAAACTTTTCTGTGAGGGCCCAGTGAGTCAACACTGCAGGTGGGGAGGCCACGCGTCTCCAAGCGACCAGCTCTGTGCTCTGGAGTGTGGGCGCAGAGCGCGGTGGGCAGACTGGCTCTAGGAACACTTTTCAAACCAGGGCAGCCTGGGTTTGGCCTGCAGGCCTTTGTCTGCCAATCCACGGTGGAAGGCCAGGGAAGGGGCCAGCCAATACTGCAGGGAATAATGGGGAGCGACAGCTACGGAGAGGCAGCGACAACAACTCCCTATCTCAGGCGAGACAGAAAGGGGCACATGCTGAGCTCCAACCAGGCCAGGCTCCTCTCCCCACCCTGCCCCCAAACCATACTAAGAATAAGCACAGGTTCAAGAACAACTGGCCCACTCACCAAGTCCTGGTCAGGAGCATCATAGGGGGCTTCCCACTTAATCACAGCAGAGGTTTTGCCGATGTGAACTGCATGCAGGTGGCGGGGTGGGAGCCTGCTGTCTGGGATCGTCTTCACCACCACGCAGTCCGAGGACGGCCCGAGGTAAGGCACCACCACGCGAACCTAAGCGACACCGTGTGCAGTCAGGCAGCCTTCACGTCACACGCCGACAGAGCAGTGACGCGGGCACCCAGAGAATTCTCAACTGGTACAGGAAGCTATGACGAAAAATAACTCCCCACTTACCTGGGTGTCTGACCCTTCTTCCAGGGGGGCCACTAGTAACAGTTTTCTGTACTTCCTTCCAGAAATGTCTTACATGTATATAAATACAGATTTTTGTGTGTGTGTGTGCATAAATGCATACTTATATGCATATCTGCATATGTAATCTATGTTTCGTAAAATAATTTTTACACAAATGAAAAAATTGTTATACATACTACGTTGTTGATTTCTCTCACTTAATAATGCTGCTTAGATTTTTTTCCATGATCAGCACACGTACAGTTGTATTTCTTTTGGATGGCTGTCCTGTGTTCCATTGCAAAGATAAGCTACGCTATTTTTAACCAGTCTCCTGACAGACATTTGTTTCCATTGTTTTGCGATCATGAGCAATGGAGTATCAAGCATCTTTCCCATGTATCCCTGCCCACGTGCAGGCGTATGTAGGCTAGAAGGAGGATTCCACAAAGGCCTTTGTCTGCTCCTGTGGCCCATGCGCCCGGTTCTCAGGCCTCCAGCCACAGTTGGTGAGGCTCCGTGATGTCAAACAACAGCGTCACGCCTGTGTGCCACAGGAATGGCCCTCCTGTCACACGGCGGCCCGGCACCCACCCTGCCGCTACCCCAGTCCAGGGTCTGAGTTAGGGCCCAGGAACTGCCAGCTCTGGGCTTTCTGGCGAGGGACGCTCACCAGGAACAGATACTGCTCGTCCCTGCTGACAGTGACCGTTCCGTTGTGGAGGGACGTCGTCAAGCTCTTCGGGTTCCGATAGAGGTCAAGAAAGGACGTAGCATAGAAGATACCGTAAACCTGGTAAAAGGAGAGAATGAAAAGGGACAAGTCAGAGGCCATGACCTATCATTCTTCACAAATCCCTAATTTAAGACGCTGGGACCACGTCGAAGAGCTTGGAGAGAAGTCTTCATGTAAAATGCTTGTTCCATCAGCATTTACAGAGAAGGCCCCGCCGGGCCAGGCACTGAGTTCGCACCTGCAGAGGTGAAGATGGTGTGGTCTCTATCCTCAGAGAGCAGAGCCCAGAGAAGGAAAACAGATACAGTTTCAAGTAACAAGTTGCCAACACAGAATCCTTAGATGCTAAACTACGAGTCTGCACAATGAGCCAGAGAAAAGAGGGGTTCCCCAAAGAAGGCTGCTCTCTGCCAGTGAATGAAGCAGGGACACGGGGAGCTGAGCAGATGAGGCAGGCGAGGCAAGACGCTCTGCGGGTCTGTGGAGGGAGGGTGGCAGGGTGAATGCTGGCAGCTGCCCATGGGCACCATCCCTCCTTCCCGAGTCCTGGTTCTTAGTGAGAACTGCTACCTGAAAAGAAGTCTACACCCCGCCCCCGCCCCCCAAAGCCAGGAGAGGCCATGTGGCAGGCAGTCAATGAGATATAAGCAGATGTGTCCTGGGGGACCTTTAAAGGGGGAGCCCTCCTTCCTGCTGCCTAAAGACAGAGGAGGGTGTGGCTCCAGGCCTCTTGGACCAAGGGGTGACCTTGAAGATCGAAGCCACAGGATGGGGCTGCGCAGCCAGGCCCCAGATCACACCGTGTGGCTGCTGTGAAGCCGCGACTGCTGGACTCTGCCCTTCTCTCCGTGCGGATGGAACCCAACTGTTTCAGGCCACAGCAGCACCAGCCTCGAGCAGGACGACCCGACTGACACTCGTGGGACACTGGCAGAGTTGGAGGCAGGGAAGGGAGAATGTGATGGCGCGTGGGAGGGAGGGAGCTGGGGGAGTTTAGGATAGGAGGATCCGCGCTGAGTCAGCTTTCTCTGCGGGGGAAAACCAAAGAGCACCCCTCCGAGACAGGACCCGCAGGGAAGAGGAGACCTGAAGAAAGCGGTACAGGTCTGGAGAAGTCAAGGGAAAGGCGGGACGTGATCAGGGCACGCAAAGGTGTTTCCTGTCCCAGCCGGCTGTGCGTTGTCTACAACCCTGCTCAGCAGCCAGGACTGGAGAGGGCCGAGCCTGGGCAGGGAAAGGGAAGGGAAGCCAGAAGGGGTGGTGGACTGGGGAGGTGAGGAAAGAAAGAACTAGGGGACTCGGAGGGCCCCCGAGCAAATGTGAGGAGAGCAGGAAGAGGGAAATAATGGATTCCACCACGAGACGAAGTGGAGAGGACGGAAGTGGGCCTGAGCTCAGGGAGGGCCAGCCCGGGGCCACTGGGGGGGGGGGGTCTAGCCAGGGGCCCAAGAGCCACAGGAGCCAGGATGCAAGAAGGGCCTTGCATGATGGAGTCACTGTCACGGTGGAGGGGAGAACAACGAGTGGGGTGCGGAGGCCTCTGGGAAGAGTGCCCTCACCCTCCAAAAGCCACAAGAATGTGACAGTCTCTCAGCAAGAACGAGGCAGAGCAGGCTCCTCTGTCCAAATGCACAGGTCATGGGAGCCTGAAGTGCTGCCGTCCCAGCACCACGCCCTCGCTGGGAAGACGGTGATGCGGCAGGTGACCATGCCTGGGGCGGGGACGTGGAGGGACAGGAGACCCTGTTGTGAGTGAGTGCACTCAGCGGTCAGAGGGACTCCCGTGGGGGTGGCTCTGGGCATTCTCACCTCTGTCCAGCCACAAAAGAGCAGAGGGTCCGAAACGAGCCGAACTCGCTTTACTGCTTCCTGGAGCTTCAACGTGGCCAGTTTACCTGAGCCTCAGGTTCTGCACTGGCACAGTGGGGACCCCCCATGGGCGAAGGCAGGAGTAAGGAGGGGGATGAAGGGCTCGGCTGTGCCTGGCACAGGGGGGACCCCCCCATGGGCGAAGGCAGGAGTAAGGAGGGGGATGAAGGCTCGGCTGTGCCTGGCACAGTGGGGACTCAGTGAGTCTTACGTCTCCTTCCTTCTTCACAGCTGATCTCGCAATTATGCTTCATTCCCTCCGCGGCCGCCCCACACGTGACCCTCAGGGAGCAAGTCACGGGCCATTCCTCCCTCACCTGGCACTGAGGACTCACTGAATCTCGATTATAGATGTAGCTCCTATCCCTTTCCATGTGGCAAACCCAGAAAACAATGCTTCCCTTCAAGGAACTGACAAACGGTCAAGGAAGGAGGAGAACAGACAGACACTGGACGAGGGTAAAGCAGTTCCAGTGAAGCATGAGCCCAGCGGGCACCAACCTGGGGGAGACCAAGGGGAGGGGACAGGACCTGGCTGAACAACCCAGGGAGGGGACGGCACGTAAGCCCCGGGACAGAGACAGGAGAGGATGGAGGTGCGAGGACCTGGGGGAGGTCCACCTGAAAGCAAGGGGTGTACCCAGAGAGGGGCAGGAAATGAACGCAGGTTCGACAGAAGCACACGCCTAATCCTAGTGACTCAAATGCATATAGAAAAGCAAAACAAAAAGGCCCGCCCACGAGTGCAGCGAGGCCACTGGGAAGAATGGGGGGGCACAACCAGGAGGAGGGACCTGTGGGTACGGGGCCAGCTGTCAGAGGGGCTGGAGAACCCCGTCACCGCTGGTGACTCACGCCCGGACCCGGGGGAGCGCCGAGCCCAGGAGGGGCCCCTCTCACACCCACTCACTCCACGAGGGCAAACGGAGGCCAGGGCGGGCGCCAGGGCAGGCGCCAGGGGCCTCCGCAGGGCCGTCCAGAGCTGACGCTGCGGGCGGCTGTGCTGGGGGTGAGAAGGGCGAGCCGGCCCCGCGGGAGAAAGCCTGGGGCCGTCCAGGAGCCAGACACCGGGGACTCCATGCTCCCCGGGCGGCGCCAGCGGGCTCACTCACCACGTTTCGGGGGCCCGTCCAGGTGCACTCCACTGCAGTCTGATTAAGGGCCTTGGCCTTGAGGCTCGGGGCCGGCGGGCGGACGCCTTTGGTCACGACATGCTCGAAGGCCAGCGCACTGTCCCCCAGGTCGGTCTTGGCCCAGGCGGAGATCTCATAGGGCGTCTGGGCTGTCAGGTTGGCAACTGTGGAAACAGAGCGAGGAGATGCCAGGAGGGCGCGGGGTGGCGGGCGAGAACTGGTCCTGACGCACACCCCCTTTGCAAATGGGTCTCTCTGTTAAGGGATTCCCACCTGTAAGATGTCCTCACTTCACAGAATCCTTCAGTTACTCATTACTGACTACTACCAGCAACACAACCGTCAACCCGGTACCCACGAAACCAGAGAGCAGCCCAACACTGGTGCACCAAGGCGCCACCCTCCGTCTATTACAGCAGAGAACCGTGCGTGGTCTGGTCACCAGGGCGGGGCAGCAGGGAAATGATGCACATCCCACCGACTTCACGCGTGTCCCATGCACCTAGTCACGGGGTCCCTAAAGGCTGTTTCCAAGAATTATTTAATGAGACTGTAAAATTCTTTACAATTTTATGTTAAGTGAAAAAGACAAGATATAAAGTTACATACACACACAAACACACACATATAAAATACAGCATTATTCCAATTTTATATCTTCTATTACATAAGGAGATACCTGAAATTTAAAAGTGGTCTTCCTGGGAAGTAAAATTATAGAAAATTTAAATTTTCATTACACTTTTCTTGTTTTCTAAATGTCCGAGATAAACACAGGCCCCCTTCCCTTCAGGGGGGAAGTTATGATGAAGCAAACAACCTCTCACAAAGGGCCTGTAAGAGGGCCCCTGGACCGGAGTGCTGGGCCCCGGCCGGCTCCACACTGCAGCTGTAGTGACACCACGGGAATAAGCTGGTTGTCAGCGAACAGGAAAGGAGTACAGGGGAGGCTCGGTAACACAGACACGCCATCCACACGGCTGTGCAGGAAACGGCAGGCAAACACTCTCCAGGTCTGTTCCCTGCCGCCCGATGGGGAAGAGACTGGACTGAGACAGTTCAGACGCATGCCCAGTAAAGTCTGGGGACGTGGGAAGATGCCTACCTGTCAATCACACCTAAAAACAGCTAACTGGCCAGCATAGGCGTGGCCACTGCAAGGGTGTGAAATCTGGGACAGTTCATCTCCTGAACAAAGGGTGTTCCCCCTCTGGGCCCTTTTGCTCCCCTGGGACCTCTGCTGCAGGGGCATACTCTGCTGTGTTCGCCCACGCGGCTCGGGGCACGTGGGGCCCACACAGTGGACTGATGGACCGGACCTAACCCTGCCAGAGTCAGCTCCGCCAGGGAACGGGACTCTGGACACTGGCCCTGCTTCTAGCTCTGCTGAGTCCCCAGCTGCGTGTCTCCCAGGACTGGCTTCAGGGAAGCAGGACTTTTCAAACCAAGGGATACAACTCCACAGAAATAAGTCTCTGATTCTCCTACATGGATCTTAGAAAAGTCTTTTTCTCAAGATATCACAATAACCCCACTCCCACTAGTGACAGAGAAATTTCAGCCACTCAATTGTCTGGCAACAGTATTACCTAGATGAAAGTATTCAAACTCTCTAAGTCCATTTTTTCTTTTTTGTAAGATAGAGAAAAATAGCAGCACTTTCTTACAGTTGCTATTGAGGGGTTAAAAAAGAAAAGCTCACAGGGTGCTCAGCACCCTAACCCAGCTCGGGCACAGCGCAGCCTTCCGTCCTTGACCCCGCCCACTTCCACTGCTGGGACCCAGGCGCTGAGCTCACGGCTCTGGAACTGGGAAGATGTGGGTTCAAACCCAGGCTCTACCACGTTCTGAACGGATTACTTAATCTCCAAACTTGTTATCTCATCAATAAAAGAGCGTATCCCAAATTCCGATTGCTGGGGCCATGTAAGCAAACACCCCGTACAGCAAGAGCTCAACGTCATTTTACTCTCGTGAAGCCTCCCGAGCACCTTCCATCCAACACACACTCAGAAAGAAGCTCCAGGTCCCGCGGGGGGTGGAGCGCGGCCCAGGGCGCTCTGCCAGCAGCTGGCGGGAGAGGGAGAGGCTCCCACACGGCTCCCAACACCCGCAGGCAGCCGTGGCCATGCAAGGTTCATTCTGGAACAATTAGAATCCTTCCCTGAGCCCGTTTTCACATGAGAATTTTAACTGAAACTGAGTATTCGCTCAGATAAACGAGCTGACTTCCTTCCCTCCTAAGCTCAGTTTGCCTATCTGTTCACACAACAAATACTTACTGAGCACGTTATGCATTGGGCCCTTTGCTGCCTGGTATTAGCAAAGGAGGAGAACACAAAACCAGAAAAGAGAGGCAATGAAATCTAGGAACTCTTCCTTTCAGAACTAAAAACCATCTGTAAAGGGTTCATCGCTCTGGTGTCTTCCCTTCAATCTCCCCCTTCCACCCAGAGCCACGAGGTACGAGGAGCTTGAACCGCCAGGTGGATCCCTTCCCTGGAGTCAGGAGTCCCTCAATCTCCTCACTCTGCCCCCCACACACTTTCCCAGGCACCCCGACATGGGCCCCGCTGCCAGGAGGGCCTCGGTCCCACCTCACCCCTTCCTGCTCTCGCAGACGGGCTCCCAGATGTTACCTTTGTGTGACAGTATGCTCCCTCGGAAGTTCAAAGTTCTTTTCTCCTGTTTGTGGGTGTCAAATGCCCAAAAGAGGTTCACCACATAGCCATTCACCTGTCAAGGACCAAGAAAGCTGTCACCAACCGTCCGGGGATACAGCCCCCAAACGGCACGACACCTGCAGCTTCTCCGGCTTTGTCACTTCTCACAACGGCAGGCATTTTGTCTGATCGTTAAACTAGTTCTATCTGTGCCGCAGTGAATGTACAGTCATCCTCCCCTAGTTCTGAAAACACGTGTGAGACCATTCGTGATATAAAATATACATTCATGAAACAAAAACTAACAGAGACTAAAAGGGCCAGAACCAATTAATAAAGGCAAAAAAAGGAAACATTTAAAAAATAATTAGGTTATGATAATTAAGGGTACATCTCAGCTCAGGTGCTCCAAAGGGGGTTCGGTTACACCTTATCCTCTAACAGGAGCAAACACCTCCAGGCAGGAGGAAGGACCACCTTTCCAAGTCCTGAGCTCACAGGAAAATTTGACCTAAATATCGGTAAATATGGGACAACAAATAAAATAAAAACGTTTCAAAACCACAGACTAAACAGACATGCTCCTCGCAGCCATCCTGGCATGGATGTCTCCGAAGCCAAAGGCACGACCCCACTGCATGTCGTGTTCCACAGGACTCCGGGGCTGTCTGTCCCACCAACTGCACAGACAGGGATGACGTGCGGAGAAACAGACAAGGGAGAATACTACGGAAGGCGACGTCCACTTGAGAAACCACAGGGACACAGATAACTTGAAGTTGGCTATGAGGAGGGGCTGAGCCGGAGGGCATGGGATGCTGGAAGGGCAGACACTGGATACACGTAAATGGGTGTGTTTCCAAATATCTGACTCTCACTGCGGGAGCCTGTGCTTGGCGCTCAGCACCAGGAAATCCAATAAAGCTGAAAATTACAGGGCATGCATATTCTGTTAATACCGACCCTCATTTGCACTGTAGCTGTGAACCATTTAATTATACGGTTTAAAAAAGGGGGGGGGGGGGATCAGGCTGAAGCAGAATAATTACATGAGAAGACTCAAGTTGCTCTTCATGGGTAAAGGAACCAACCCAGCTGTGGTATTCTAGGGTCACTGGATCAATCATTTGTTTTTCTTCATGTCACCGGACTCGGCTGTATTGTTTCCCATGGAAAGTAAACCCCACCCACTGCGAGCTAGACGGCAGTCGTACCTTGATGTCGCCGCCCGTGCTCAGGGTGAAGCTCACAGAATTCTCCCCACAGCTGTCAATGTGGATGCTGGGCGGTGGGATCGCTGCAAAGGAATTCAACAAGAGGAGCCCGTGAGGTGAGGGAGGCGAGACGCGACAGTGTGTCGAGTCCAGAGACAAAGGGAGCCTCTGTTGGAGCAGAAAGGGCATCACTTTGCCTATTTTTCACGTGTTTATCCTTTTCACCACTGTTTTCGCGAAGCTGAGGTTGGGTCCACACTTGCCTGGTGAACACGCAGCTACCCTGATAATGAAGTGGGGCAGTCAAGTTCCACTACGTAAATGCCCAAAATAACTCAGCTTCAGCCTGGTGTGGAGGGCACAGTGCCACCTTCTCTGGCACTGACAGTGACCCCGCGGCCTCACGTCCCCTTGGAATGGTGACAGCAGGGTACACACTGAGTCATAAACTGAAAAGAACGTGTGCAAATGGAAAGAACACAGGCTCTCGAGTCCAGCGAACGAGTTCAAATCCCCGTTCAGACGCTGACAGCGGAGTCATCTGGGCAACTGACTGCCCCTCATGAGCCCAGAGTCGTGCTCTGCACTTCAGAGCTGGAAACGGTGCCGTGCTGTGTCCAGCCCTCAGCTAACGCTCCCCTTCTCCCGTTCGGATGGAGTCCACCTGTGACAGATGGCCATTCTGGGGGAGACCAGCTCTCGAGTGGAGAGCCGACGGGAAGGAGAGCACAGCAGAGGGGACAGCCTGTCTCAGTCCGGGGCGGCATCTCCCGAAGGCCTGCCCGCAGGCAGGCTGGCGGTGCCCCGTCACACGAGACCGGGAAGGGCTCGGTGAGTAAATATTATCAGGACACGACATTTAAAAGATAGCATGTATGTTAGACTCTCGGCTCATATGCCTCTTGTCCAGACAGAGACTCAAAGGAGTGGATGAAACCTGCTGGTGGACAGATACGTCCAAATCTGGAGGAATTTCCCCAGATGACCAGCCATGTGGTGACACTGGCCTCAAGGAGAACAGAGACCAGAAGAAACATAAGAGGTTTCAGGCAGCTGACTCGGAGCAGAATAGTGCGGCACTGCTGAGCTAACCTGAGTCACAACCCCGCGCCTGGGGCGGGCGCCATCCTCTCGAACACGTTTCCTTGGCAACGGAACGAGCATAAACATGCTTGTGGGACAGAGAGGAATTAGAAGAGACCAATTCATGTAAAACCACGAGCGTGGTGCTTAGGCCACAAACCCTGCTGGTAAACTGTGGCTTCGCTCACTGTCACTGACCCACCACATTCACCAATCAGTCGGGTGCTTCTGGTCAATGCCACGGAAACCTCCCCTTCATCTCCCTAACATCAGAGTGCGAGTCACAGGCGTCTCACCACAAAGGCTCTGCACACAGCTGCCTCCGGCACACACCTGAACCGACCCACGCCAGGCACCAGGACCCATCGAAATCATACAAAAGAAGTTTAGAAGAAGCAACCACCCACGGAGACTTTCACAGCCAGGTGTCACTGTGCCTCGGGAGTTCAGGTGTGTGTTCTTTGTTGACCTTCCAAAGTCCCTTGTCTTCAGTAGGTGTCACAGTAATATTTTGGCCCTGATTTTGTACAAGGAAATGGTACCACAATAAAAACTCAAGGGTGGTGTGGATTCAGCACCTTCTCCAATCCCCACAAACACCCTGCTCCAGAGCCCGGGTAGCTTCACTCAAGTGGCTGCTCCGGGCCTGGTCACAGCCGCCCACATTCCGAAGGTAACCAGGCAGTGACGTCACAACCCGGAGCCCACTTCTCACAGGTTCCGGTGAATGTGAAATTCCCAAGCGGTCCCATGCAACACTTCAGACGTTAGTACCCAAAGTCCGTAAACAGAAGCCCAAGTGCCAAGGCTGAGGTCAGAAGACCCACGGGCAGGTGCGCTGGCGTCCACCTGCACAGTGGGCTCCACTGGGCTCGTCCTCGGCTGTCTCACTGGTCCTGCTGGAGCCGGAGACGGAGCAGAGGAACGCAGACCAGGTCTCTGCCCTCGTGAGGCATGCGTGCAGGTGACGAGCCAGCCACTCAGCGGGCCGGGCCGCGCAGTGGCCACAGCCTCAGCCTCAGCCCGGCAGCAGGATTCACAGTGGTTAAGGGCACAGGCTCGGGGGAGGCAGGTCAGGCTCTACAACAACCCTCTGCAGCTCCTCATCTGTTCTCAGAGTTGTTCTGAGGGTTCACTCAGATGGGCTGAGCTGTGCAAAGTAGAATGCACTGCAGGTGCCTGTCCCTGAGCCATCGGCCATCACTGACATCGGCTACAGTGCCAGAAACTACCGTGCACGCCAAGGTCGGTGCTGCCCGGAGAGCCCCCGCGCCAGGGCCGGTGCTGGCTGGAGAGGCCTGCACCAGCATGGACGTGCATGCCCTCGTCTTATCTTCAGTGGAGGGAAAGCACCCTCTGTCTGGACACTGTGTATACACAGAGGCCCCTCTGCATGTCTGCATCATGAGGGATGCTCAGTGCCAGGGGAGGTGCCTGCTCAGCAGCCACCCAGACCGTGCCCCAGCGCATGCCGACACCCAGGGAGGCGCACGTGTGGGCGGGGCCGCGCTTCTCCGCTGCCACCGCACCGAAAGCGGCCTCTACGGACCGCCCTCTGCCCGCACCGGCACCTGCTGGGGCCGCTCACCTGTTCCTTTCGTGGTGGTGATGGCTTTGGAGTCACTCCAGTTCCCTACTCCACGGCCCGTCACTGCAGCCACCTTCCCAAACCAGAGTGTGAATCAGTACGGAGCAACGGCAACGTCCCAGACAGCGAGCGCGCCAGTGGGCCCCGCAGTGACGCTTTGTCAGTGGGGGTCACAGAGTCTGCACAGAGACTGGGAGGAGAGAGGGGGGGACCTGGGGGGAACCTGAAGGGACCACAGTGAAGGCAGCGGACGTGCACTGAGACCAGGAAGCGTCTGCTGACAGGACGTCCGGGCGTCAGAGTGGGCGTGAGTGTGCTCAGACACACAGGTGCACATATGTGTGAGAGCAGGTGTGAGTGTGCACAGCCCCACGGGTGCACACACTTGTAAGAGTGGGCGTGTGTGCAGACACGCACAGGTGCACACACGTGTGAGAGCGGCTGTGAGTGTGCAGACACACAGGTGCACACGTGTGAGCAGGCATGAGTGTGCACATACAGGTGCACACATGTGTGAGAGTGGGTGTGAATGTGCACAGCCACACATGGGTGCACACATGTGTAAGAGCGGGCGTGGGTATGCACAGACACCCACAGGTACACACACGTGTAAGGGCGGGCGTGGGTGTGCACAGACACACAGGTGCACACACGTGAGAAAGGGCAACAGGCTAATGGAGTCTATATGCGCTTAATGGTTCCAACAAACATGTTTTGCACAAAATCTCTCTCTTCTGCCAGTATTGATAACATACTTTTTGTTTTTGTTGTTAATCCTCACCCGAGGATATCTTTGGAATTTTTGGATAAGGTGTTTTCTAAGAACATCACAGTATCCATTTATAAATGCACGTGTAACTCTGCACACCCTGAAGCTGCAGACTAGAAGAGATGGGTGCAGAGGCTGGACAGCGGCAGACTCTCGGGACAAAGGCAGGGAAGCATCATGACCACAGAGTCCCAGTTACCTGAGGGAAGTCTGACTTAGGTTCTCTGACGCTGGTTTAAGAGACTGACAGAAATAATGACTGCTCCCGGACAAGGGTGGGTACTAAGCACACTGTCCATGAGCCCCTCACAGAGGCCAGGGGGTTCCCAGGAAACAGCACCGTGTCCCACGTCCCCAGAGAGCCCGGCCAAAGCGGGCACGACTCACTCTGACAGTGTACTGAGTGTGGGCCAGCAGGCCCTGTATCTCGGTGGAGTTACTGGCAGCCGTCTGGGAGGCCCACACCCTGGACCCGCTCCTGCTGTACTCCACCTGCAGTGAGGACAGGACGTTCAGTGAGCGGCCATCGCAGGCCGGGCATCCTGACCCCTCCAAGGAGACCGAGGAGAGAGTGGAGGGGGATGAAAACGTTCTAAGAGGTGGATCATCATTTACAAAGTTGCACACACCAAACCCTAGTCACACAGAACAGGCTGCTGCCCGGACAGACCAGGCGTCTGCTGCACACCCCGACCTGCGCCAGGCCCCGGGAGGTACTCACGATGTACTCGCGGATGAGGCCCTGGGCGTGGACGGGCGCAGTCCAGCGGGCTGTGAGCACGCCTTCCACTTCCCGGTGCAGGGCCAGCTGGAGGTTCCGAGGGGCGTCTGGCACTGGAAGAGATCGACTGCGTCAACCCATCTGCTACTGCACCGCAGGAGGAACTTCCCTGAGCTCAATCTGCAGCCGGCAGGGACCCGCCCACCAGACAGGCTGCTCCCTCGGTCCTCACGGTGACAGGACGCCTTCCCCTCCTGGAACGCAGTGGAGGCTTCGGACCCCAGTGCCCGGGCCTCACGCGGGTTTGTGGCCCACAGGACGGCAGGACGGAATCTCTGGGCGTGTGGAGTCTCCACTAGCCCTGGGCCTCCCTCACGCTGTGATCAAGTCTCCCCTGCCTACCAGGGCCTTGGATTTATGAACCCCTAAAGTACGACCCCAGAAAAGCTTCCAAAGCCCCTTCTTTTTAGTTTGGATTTAATCAATCCAGCTTTAGTCTGGGGACCTCACAGCACTCCACTGAAGAGTCCTAATCAAGGTCCCACTCCTCTCTCGGCCTGCACCCCACCTGGACCCCCGAATGACCTCCGAGGCCTAGGTGTACCTCTTCCAGGATCTAAGATTACAAACCTCTCCATTTCAACTTCTCCTGGGGACTTCTGTAAACTATTCAATGCCCCAGGGTTCTCCTTAACGAATGTGAACTGAATAAAGTCATAGAATCATGCCCGGCCCATGTGGCTCAGTGGTTGAGTGTCAACCCATACACTAAGAGGTCGCCGGTTCGATTCCCAGTCAGGGCACATGCCCAGGTTGTGGGGGCATGCAGGAGGCAGCCAATCGATGTGCTCTCATCGATGTGTCTCTCTCTCTCTCCCTCTCTCTCTGAGATCAATGAAGAAAAGGAAAAAGGTCACAGATTCTCACACAGTTGCCAATGGAGAGCTCACAGAACTGTGGAAACGGGCTCTCTTAGACATGTGAGTTTGGGTAAATTTCTTTAAAACTTAGCCAGAATATTCCTGATGTGCCTCGCATGTTAGTGGTGATGAGCTCTCATGTACCAAGTACCGGGAAATACCTAGAGACAGAGGGTAAAGGGCCATGGTGGGCGGAACATCATGTGACATGATAAGAACAAACGTCCAACAACAAAGGCCGGACCATGAAACATGGCCACAATACTTCTGCACATCGGAGGCACGTGAGATGCCACCCCACACTCCTGAGCACCCTGGGGAGACTCTGAGACTCCCACGTACGGTCTTGTCTGTGCCACAAAAACGAACGAGGACACTCACAGCCCTCGGGGGTCCTCAGGGTCACGAAGTCGCTGGTACTGTGCACCTTGCTCAGGCACTGCACCTGGACCTTCACCTGGTACGTGGTGTCCGGCTTCAGAACTTTTAATATCACGTGGGTTTTATTGCTGTGGGTCTCCAGCGACTTCCATATGCTGTCCCCAACCACCCTGGACACAGAACAAAGACACAGTCACGGAAAGCACGGGGTGTCCGACTCCGTTAACGGAGAGCCCGTCCCAGCCCGGCACCGAGGTTACCAAACACGCGGGCGACAAGGATGCTGCTCCCCCGCGAGGGGCCCACCTGTAGTAGACGTTGTAGACACAAGAGGCAGAGGGCATTTTCTTGGGCCGCATCCAGGTCACGGTGACATCCCCAGAGAAGTCAGCTGTCCACTGCAGGTTCTGCACTTTGTACACAGTCAACTCATCTGGAGGCAGGAAGGGAAACCGGGATGAGACATCCCACAGATTCTCGGGTTTCCGAGGAGCCAAGAGGCTCCCTGATCAGTCACATTGCCATCTTCAAAGACACCCAAGAAAACAGAGGTGAAACCTTCCTGTCCAGCCTCTCCCAGCGCCCCAATCTCCGTGGTAATTTCTCCTTGTTACCTGTGTGTCCACAGCCATGTAAAGCTGCTTCTCTAAGCAGTATCACAGCAGGGTCTGTGCTGCCCCAGGCGCAGCACCGGCCCTCAGATCCACAGGCTGGCACCTGTCCCACCTGCTGGCGTCGTGGGGGGGGGACCTGCCCCACCTGCGGGCGTGGGGGCGGGGCCTGTGGGGGTGACTCCATCAGGAAGCAGGAGCCTCAGGAGCCAAGAGGACCTGAGGACCTGAGAGCCAGCGGACAGGTCCTCACCAGATCACCGGACAGCGAACCCGCTGTCTTGACCTCAGACTGCGTCCTCCAGACCCGAGAGCACATCTGTGTTGTCTGGAAGGCACTGGTCGGGTACTCTAGGCAGCACCCTGAACCCACGAAGACAATACCAAGTTCACCCCAGCAGACGCCGCACTGACCTGTCATGGAGCCCGGCTCCCTCAGAGTGCGGGTGCAGCACCGGAGCTCAGCCCGCCCACCCTGAGGGGCTGAGGGGAGCTCGGTGCTCCCTGGGAGGCAGGGCGAGCCTTGTCCACACTCTGCGGGGGGCGGAGGGGGGCAGGCTCTCTGCAGGGGTGAGCACTCTGCGGGCCCTCTGTGGGGCGCGCGCTCTGCGGGGGGTGGAGGGGACAGGCTCTCTGCAGGGGTGAGCACTCTGCGGGCCCTCTGTGGGGCGCGCGCTCTGCGGGGGGCGGGGGGGCAGGCTCTCTGCAGGGGTGAGCACTCTGCGGGCCCTCTGTGGGGCGCGCGCTCTGCGGGGGGCGGGGGGGGGCAGGCTCTCTGCAGGGGTGAGCACTCTGCGGGCCCTCTGTGGGGCGCGCACTCTGCGGGGGGCGGGGGGGGCAGGCTCTCTGCAGGGGTGAGCACTCTGCGGGCCCTCTGTGGGGCGCGCGCTCTGCGGGGGGCGGAGGGGGGCAGGCTCTCTGCAGGGGTGAGCACTCTGCGGGCCCTCTGTGGGGCGCGCGCTCTGCGGGGGGCGGGGGGGGCAGGCTCTCTGCAGGGGTGAGCACTCTGCGGGCCCTCTGTGGGGCGCGCGCTCTGCGGGGGGTGGGGGGGGCAGGCTCTCTGCAGGGGCGAGCACTCTGCGGGCCCTCTGTGGGGCGCGCGCTCTGCGGGGGGCGGAGGGGGGCAGGCTCTCTGCAGGGGTGAGCACTCTGCGGGCCCTCTGTGGGGCGCGCTCTGCGGGGCTGGCTCTGAGGGGCGGCGCTGTTTCATCTGCAGTCAGGGAAGCAAGCGCTCCAGGGCTCTCTCCAGTGGCCCACGCGGGAGGACGGCGGACGGGCCGGGAAGCAGGGCCACACTCACCGCGACAGGCCCGCTCGTCGCTCTCGTCCGAGCAGTCCAGGAAGCCGTCGCAGCGCTCGGACAGCAGGATGCAGGCCTCGCCGTCCTCGCAGGGGAACTCCTGGCTCGCACAGGTCAAGGTGCCGCGTGTGGCTGAGACAGGGAGAGGCACATTGTACTACACGTGCATCATGTTTAGAGCAGGTGTTTGCAACCTATGAATGCATCAGCTGCTGCTTCAAAACACGCCTCCGGAAGCCGAGAGGCAGCCCCACGCAGGCACTGGGATGCCCTCTTATTCGACATTAACAACGAGCATCTACTTCATGACAAGCGAGAGCGTTGGAGTCAAAGTAGGTTAGTTACATCCTGGCTCTGTGCGCTGCAGCAAATGGCTTAACTGTGCCCACGTTCCGTTCCTGCTGATAAAATCGGGGTGCCAATCCCACTGGATCCAGTGAGATCAAGCACCTGCAACAGGGCCTGGCTGCTATAGCCATCAACAGTTACGACGTTACAACACTCTACACTGCTACTAAGTCTCCTGCTTCTGTACCAGTCTGCAGTCCAGACTGACGCTGATTTCTGGTTTGTGTAATGCTAACAATAACAAGGTAACCACAACACCGAGAGGCATGCCCACATTATGTAGTTTCAAAGTATTTTACCAGAACATGACATGCTGCAAATAAAGAGCATTGGTAAGTTAAGAGCAACAACGACTGTAAACCACAGTGGGACGTTCTCTCCAGTCCCAGAAGTAGCGTTAGGCTGCACAAAGCAAGCAATGGCCACAGAATTGCAGGCGATGATACAAAGAGAGGAGAAAGATACAAATGTAGTGCCCCAGGTGAGTCCAGACCAGACCCAGGTGCCAGTCTTCAGACCTTGTCACACAGACTCACACATGTCTGCCCAGCTCTAGGCAGGAAGGGCCAGGTCAGAACCCCACCCCCAGGAGGAGGCCTGGGACCACCCGGCTCCTCCAAGTCAAACCTGTCCATGTCTTATCTGTGAAAGGTGTCACTTGGCAGATGTGATTAGGTTAACCTGACAGGGAGGTTACTCTGGATTACCAAGGCAGGCCCCCGCTGATCCCTCGGGTCCTTAGAGACCCTTTCCTGACTGTGGTCAAACAAGATAGAAGACGTGATGTCGGGAGAAGCACCAGCGAGACACTTGCTGGCTCTGAAAGCCGAGGCAGGCGCCCCTGGAGCTGGAATCATCAGGACGCAGAGCCCCTCCTGCAGCCTCCTGAGCAGCCAGCCCTGCTCACATCTCGGTCTTAGTTGGTCAAACTGATGTCCGATTCCTGACCTAACACTGTCAGAAAGCAAACGTGTCACTTTTGTCTTAAGGTATCAGGTTTGGGGTGATGGGTACAGTGCCCATAGCAAACACACACACTCGATCCTCGGCACCTGCCCAGATTCACCCTGCAGAGCTGCCTGGTCTGAGTCCAAACTTCCATTCCTCTACGGGACTCAGACCCGCCTCGCGCTGCTCCCACCCCTGCGAATGCACCTCGACGTCCAACACGACGGCCATCCCGCTACCGCAGTAAATTACCAGAGACCACTCAACCACTGAAGAACCCAAGGACAGAGAATTCACAAAACTGATTCTCAACAGATCCCTCCGGGGACTCCTGAAGGTCATTTCCTTGCAGCTGCCCCGCCTCCTGACTGAGCACCACCACTGCTTCGAGCTGCAGGAGAGAAACCAGCGGTGTTCACCGAGCAGCCAGGACGGCGGAGGACGGACAACCCAGGACAGGTTCCTGGAGATGAAGAGACCGGAGCTGGGGGTGGAGACGAAACGTATCGCAATTGTCCTCAACTGAGGAGTTTTCACGTGAAAGAAGAATGAAGACTTCTCTCATGCCTCCAAAATGGAGGGACTCAGTGACATGTATCAGAAAGAGCTTTCTATACAGTACTTCTCAGTGAGAGAAGGACACTGTTACAACCACTTGCGGGCTGTCTGGAAGTGTGCCCCCATCTCCTGGACAACTGCTGTGCTGTGCAGCTGCTACGTGCCGAGATGGAGTCGGTCTCCTTGGGGAGGCCGAAGGACAGCCTGGGTACACACAGAACCGCAGTAGAGCATTTAGGGAAGTCTGAGGAGCACTAGTACACCAGTCTCAGGATCCCAAGATGGAATTCTTCCGTCCTCTATCCATCCATGCACCCATCCATCTACCCACCCACTTACCCAGCCAGCCAGCCACCCATTATCCATCTATCCAGCCATCCACTCATCCTTCCATCCAACCACTCACCCATCTGTCCATCTAGCCACCCATCATCCATCCAACCATCCATCATTCATCCACATAACCATTTATCTGCTAACCCATCCATCCATCATCTACCCATCCACCCATTATCCATCCATCCATCCCTCCATCCATCCATATACTCATCCATCCATCCCTCCATCCACTCATCCATCTATCCATCCATCATCCATTACCCATCATCCCTCCATCCCTCTATCCTTCCATCCATATACTCATCTATCCATCTATCCATCCACCCATCACCCATCACCCATCCCTCCATCCAACCATATACTCATCCATCCATCCCTCGCTCCCTCCATCCACTCATCCACCTATCCATCCACCCATCACCCATCGTCCATCCATCCCTCCATCCATATACTCATCTATCCATCTATCCATCCATCCAATGATCATCCATGGGGTTCTCCCCATGAACCAGGTACTGTTTAAGATTATAAGAAAATGGTGATGTGTAAAACAGACAAAGGACCTACCCTCAAAGAGCTTACCTTCTACTGAGAGAGCAAACAAGCAAACAAATAAGTTATTTTGAACAGTAACATGAACTACAAAGAAACATAAAGAGAGTAACAGTAAGAGTGTGATGGTGGGGAGATGTGTTTTACAGGAACGTCACAAGGGGACTGTTTTGGAAAAGTCCAAGATCCCATCACAGAATTATTCCCTGTGGTAAGAAGGTCCTAAAATAGAACCCAGCAGCTGGAAGGTGCTAAGGTTCATGACCCATGCCTCAATATTTCAAAAGTGGGAAAACACCAGTCTGAGGAATTGGAAATGAGGTGTCATTCATCTCTGAAAATTCTTAAACAGATTATTAAACATATAATTAATGTAAACATATAATTAATTATTAAACATAATGTTCTGCACTTCGGACAGCATACAGTGCTGTTCGGGGACCCTCTTCCCCAAGAGAATCATGCCCTCTGATCTCACTTCCTGTCTGGACAGGGTTATCAGAGTAATGGACTACAGAGAACTGTCAATAAGCATCCTTAAGAATGAGGCAGTTTTAAAACAGTCTAAAGAAGAGTATTTAAAGGATAGCAACGATTGAAGTAACCTCACGCAGGGGGAAGGCCCCATCCCAGTTCCTCCTGGCTAACTGCTCATCGCATTGAGTCTACGTTCTTGCTCAGATGTGCCTACTGCTGTCCTGGAAAGTGAGGTGAGTCTGGCCTGTTGCCTGCATGTCCAAGGTCCACTCTGCTCCTCTCTAACGAGTGCTGACCTGTAGTTCCTCTGTTCCCCTGGGGCATTCGGCCTGAAAGAACGTCCATCATGGCCGGATGAAAGGTACCTGCTCTGTACCAGAAAACAGAACTAAGTACACTAGTCTGTGACTGACAATGTGCTCTCTTTGAAGCTTAATTTTTCTATCTCTGAAATGGAGATAAAACCAAAATTGCAAGGTCATTAAGACAGATGAAGCGTAAGAACTGGGAGGCCGCCCTGGGGCAGCCTCCTGGGGCCCCGGACACTCACGGCAGGCAGCCTCGTCCTCGCCGTCCGCGCAGTCTCGGTGGCCGTCACAGCGCTTCCAGTTGGGGACACACGTCTTGGGCTGATGGCACTCAAACTCAAACCGGCCGCACCGTCCATGCTGGGCAGGGGTGGAGGTGGTGGTAGCATTTGCTAGAAAAAGATTTTTAAATTCACTTGTTACCAGAGGAAGCTGGCCAGCGGCCGTGACCCATTCGACGTGTTAGGAGGTGACAGTGTTTTAGGAAGTCCTACCAGGACCTGAGCAGTGTGCGCTCTGGGGAAAGACACTGAGTGGACACAGGCATCTCATTTCCCTCCCCCCAGGGCCCTGAAAGAGACAGAGAACAAAATCCTGGAAGCTGGACAGCAGACAGTGGTGAGCGACTGACGAGACCCGAGAAGACCGCGGCCTCGCCTAGCGTCGGGAGAAAGCTAAGAACCAGCAAGATGACATCACAGAATCCTCAAAAAGCTTGCAAATGGTATCTCAAGTGAGGACAACTGGGACACTTCCCTGTACGTGCCCCATGAATGGCCAGGGGACTGTTTTCTGGACAGGGTGAAATGGGGCAGGTCAGACAGGCAGAAGAGGGAGTAAACCGTGGTGGTGACACCTACTCCATTTGTTCAAGAACGCCGGCGGCGAGACCTGATTCTCCAAGCCGGAGACTACACACTCATGCTCTCGAAAACTCCGACCAGTCTCGAGACAAACCCTAAGGGGACCGGGAGCGAGAGGTCCTCCGCAGCACGACCAGGACGCTCAGAGCTGACCAGCTGCCCTGTGTGTGCACCGCTTCTGAGCAGGTCTCAGGCTCGTGTTCGACACGAGGAAGCAGCTGAGGACTGTCCGAGGAGAGCCTGACCCGAAAGACAGAAACAATGTAGTCCACACCTCCACCAAAAGACTTTTCTTTGCAGGAAGAAAATTTTAAAGAAACATATCTTTAATATGCTCAGAAAAAAAGAACATATGTTTACCCATGAAAAAAGAAAAGTGCCATAAAATAGTCTTAAAATTTTTAAAGCTCTTAAAATTAAAACCATGAAAACTCATAAGAAAAACTTAGTACAAGAGTCGGAGACAAAACTGAGTCACTCTCCCAGCAAGTAGGAAAATACAAAGAAATTAAAAAGATAAAAAGACTAGAAGAAAACGAGGACCAGGGCATGAGATCCAATAATGAATAACATTAGTTCAGGAAAAAAGAGAAAATATCATAAATGGGATATTTCAAGAAAAAGTCCTAAACCCAGAATACATAAATTTCCAGAATAGAAAGGCCTACCTGTCAGTGCCCATGACACTGGTCAGAAAAGGGCCCACATCAAAACACATCCTTGTAGCCCTGGCCAGTTTGGCTCAGCAGTCAGAGTGTCGGCCTGCGGACCAGAGTCCCGGGTTCGGTTCCCGCTAAGGGCATGTACCTCAGTTGCCGTTTGTCCCCGGCCCTGGTCGGTTGTGCGGGTGGCAGCCACTCGATGTGTCCCTTTCACATCGATGTTTCTCCCTCTCTCTCTCTCTCCCTCCCACTCTACCTGAACAAAAAATGGAAAAATGTCCTCGGGTGAGGATAAAAAAAAACAAACACATCCTTGTAGCCCTGGCCAGGTTGGCTCAGCAGTTAGAGCGTCGGCCTGCGGACCAGAGTCCCGGGTTCAGTTCCCGCTAAGGGCATGTACCTCAGTTGCCGTTTGTCCCTGGCCCCAGTTGGGGTCGTGTGGGTGGCAGCCACATCAGTTTTTCTCTCCCCCTCTCCCGCTCTATCTGAAGATAAATGCAAAAATGTCCTCAGGTGAGGATGAAAAAAAAAACAAAAAAAAACAACCTTGTGAAATGTCAAGACGCTGGAGCCAAAGGGAGCATCTATAAGCTTCCAATGAGTCCAAACAGGTTACACACACAAGATAAAACCCAAAATGTCTTTAGATTGTCTGAGAGTTGTTCAAAATTGTGCCTTCAAAATTCAGAAGGAAAATTGGTGACAACCTAACATCTAAACCCAGCCCACCTATCGACCAGTCTGCAGACAGGAGAAAAGCGTTTCTAGATGAGCAAGACCTCAGACATCTCCCACACACCCTTTCTCAAGAACTTCCTGGAAACTGCCATATTGAAACCAGAGAGAAAAGTCTGGGATGTAGAAGACTGGAACTCCAACACAAGAAGGAAAAGTGCATCCTTGGGATGATGGAGAAGGCAGGGCACGGACACACCTGTGCCCAGGCACAGACGGCAGCCAGGACGAAGGAGAAGGCGACACCCACCAGACAAACATGCCGAAGGCTTTATCGCCACGCCCTCGGCCACTGGCCGCCACATCCACCTGACGACGCGATGGAGGGCATGCCCCACCAAACAAGGGAGCACACCAGGGAAAAGCCAGACAGAAACCCTGGGCACAGGGAGTCTAAATCAGGAAAAAGGCAGAGAAGTGTGAGGGGGGCAGCAAAGTCCCAGGGCCAGGGCTGCTGCAGGCCGGGAGCAGGCCACAGAGCGGGGCCCCGCTGTGAGGAGGGGGTCGCCGCGAGCAACCCCGCAGCTGAGGGACCCTCTGTAGGGTGACTGGAAAAGCATCTGAGAAGCTACTGACAGGTGGACAGCATGAGCAAAAGGTACAAAATAACCCGCGGTAACAAACGAAACAAAGATGCAGTTATTAAACTTTTAGATCTTATGTGTGTTCCATGGTTTTAACTGAATTTTCAAAGGGCCTCTCCGACCTGCAGAGCTCGGCTAAGGCAGGTACACAGAGAAGAGCGGCAGAAAACGGGGCTGGAAGCCAGGTCAAGGAAATCGCGTGCTCATGCTTCCAGTGCTGGGGCAGCTGCAATGTCGCATCAGTGTGTGGCTCTCGGAAGACACGTGGACAAGGGAGTGACAGGGGGCTGAAACCAGGCAGGTGACTTCTACACCACCAGTCTAGCTCTGCACCAACACTGCACATTAAACAAAGAAATCTTTACAAAAGCTGAACGAAAATTCTAGATAGGATCTGCTCATTCATTGGATTCGTTAGAATTCTCTAGAGTTGGTTAATGTCTCCATCAGAGTTTCAACAACCAAAACTATGTTAGAAGAAAATCACGTTACTAAATAGAGAGGTGGGCCTTGGGCAGAAAAGGCAGAGATAAGTTTTGGTTTTTATTATACAATTAGTTTTAATTTGAGAAGCATTTATGGGATACCCAACTATCTGCCTCATTGAGGTAGGCACAGTGGTGGATTCAAAGTATTATGCAGCATGATTCCAACACACAAGGTATACACAACAGCTACAGAAAGAAGATGTATATACGTGAAATGATTAGGAAGCAACATACAGATCACAGTCAAGAATCGACAGGGATGCTCAATGAGGCTGAGACAGCAACGTCATTTCAGGACTCAGTGAATGCTCCCTGGAGGAGGTGCCTCAGAGGGAGACAATTCCCAACTCCTCGGAAGCAGGGATCTCAAACCTCAGTGAACCTGCGAATCACATGGGAAGCCCCTGGGCTCCATCTGGAAACTCTGGTCTGTTTCTATAAATACGACACCTGCTTAGGAGAGGACACCAGTGCTGACCTCTGGATTCAGCGAAGGGCATGTACTAAATGGGGTCTCACAGTTCACCACCACCACCACCCCCGCCCCCCCCCCAAGATGATGACTGCAGAAACATTAAGCTACCTCTCTGCGTTCAGCCACTAGATGGCAGTGCTCACCCGTCTTTTAGTAAGGGGCCAGCACCAGAGGAAGTGGGCTCTTCCCCCAGAGCTCCGTGCACACACAAACACTGCCCCTAATGCCCACTGTCATTTCCTGTGCAGAGAAAGCAAAGGTGCCCCCACTGCAGCCTGGGTGGAAAGCAGGGGGCTGCCCCCTTCTTGCAGGAAGATCAGAGGACATTTACAGATGAGACACACCGGTTCTGCGCGCTCTGGAGGTGAAAAGCAGCCTGGCCTCCAAGCTCAGAGTCCCAGAGAGCAGGGCACCAGCCCAAGCATGCTGTGCCCAGGTGGTGCCCTGGAAGGTTCTGGCCGCAAAGCAGGGCAGGAAGAGGCCGCCCGCACTCACCGGGAGAGGGGCAGGCTTCCTCATCCGAGCCGTCTGCACAGTCCTGGTAGCCATCGCACACCCAGATGTCCATCACGCAGGCCCCGCTGCTGCAGCGGTAGTAATTAGGGGGGCATGTGGAGGGCCCCGGAGTGGGTGAGGGAAGAACATGTGAATCTGAGAAAACACCAAGCAAGAAAACCCAGAGTTACAAGAAGCTCGATCTCATACCAAATCGGGTCCCCAAACCAGTGTGGACATCCCGTTTGAGCGGCACCCCCACCCCCAGGCCAAGCAAGGCTCTGAAGCGCAGCCCGTGCAGAAGTCATTTATAACGAGGTGTCAGAACAGGCTGCGTGTCTCTCCCTTTGGAGCAGCGGCGCCCTGCGTGTTCCATCTGCTTTCAGCTGTAACACTCAGATGATCGGCTGCGCGGGGCCCCAGCAGTGGTGAAGGAGAGACAGAAGCACAGTGGGGGTGAAGGTTCCTGAGGTCAAGCACTGTTCCGGTCATCAACTGACCACAGCCAGCCCGAGGCCTGCTGAGAGGTGAGACAGCGCCAACCGAAAGGGGCAGCACGCAGTCCACCTCAGGGCTTCTCCATGCACCAGGGGGTGGGCTGGAACGCAGGCTGTGGCTCAGGAGGGAGGCTGGGATGACGCCAGAAACCCTGCATTTCTTTTTATATTAATTAATTTATTTTTTATTAATTTATTTTTGTTACAGATGTTTCTCATTTTTCCCCCATAGACACCCTCCTCCCCTTCCCCCCCCCACCCCATCCCCAGCTTTGTTGTCTATGTTCATTGGTCATGCATACGTGCATGTAAGTTCTGTGGTTTATCTCTCCCCCCCCCAGCCCCCCTCCTCTGAGGCTTGTCAGTCTGTACCCCACCATTATGTCTCTGGGTCAATTTTGTTCAGCAGTTTGAGTAGTTCATTATATTCCACAAATAAGTGAAATATGGTATTTGTCTTTCTATGCTTGGCTTGTTTCACATAGCATAATACTCTCCAGGTCCTTCCATGTCATCTCAAAGAATAAGAGATCTATCTTTCTTACAGCTGCATAGTACTCCATTGTGTATGTGTACCACAGCTTTTTATCCATTCATCTACTGATGGACACTTGGGTTGCTTCAAGACCTTAGCAATTGTAAATAGTGCTATGAACATGGGGTACATATATTCTTTCTGACTGGTGTTTCAGGCTTCTTAGGGTATATTCCTAAAAGTGGGATCACTGGGTCAAATGGAAGTTCAATTTTTAACTTTCTGAGGTAACACCATAGTGTTTTCCACAGTGGCTGTACCAGTCTGCATTCCCACCAGCAGTGCACTAGAGTCCCCTTTTCTCCACACCCTCACCAACACTTATTGTTTGATGATTTGTTGATGGCAGCCATTCTGACAGGTGTGAGGTGATACCTCATAGTTGTTTTAATTTGCATCTCTCTGATGATTAGTGATGTTGAGCATTTCTTCATATGTCTCTTGGCCATTTGTATGTCCTGTTTGGAGAGGTGTCTATTTAGTTCCTCTGCCCATTTTTTAATTTGGTTCTTTGTCTTCCTTTTGCTGAGTTATATGAGCACTCTACATATTTTGGAAATTAACACCTTATCTGATGCATCATTGGCAATTATGATCTCCCATATAGTGGGATCCCTTTCTGTTTTGATGGTTGTTTCTTTTGCTGTGCAGAAACTTTTAAGTTTGACATAGTCCCACGTGTTCATTTTCTCCTTTGTTTCTGTTGCCTTCAGTGATGTATCAGTGAAAATTCTGCTGCATATGATGTCTGAGATTTTGTTGCCTACATTTTCTTCTAGAATTTTTATGGATTCATGAGTTACATTTAAGTCTTTTATCCATTTTGAGTTTATTCTCATGTATGGTGTAAGCTGGTGTTCTAGCTTCAGTTTTTTGCAAGTAGCTGTCCAATTTTCCCAACAACATTTATTGAAGAGACTGTCTTGACTCCACTGTATGCTCTTGCCACCTTTGTCAAATATTAACTGAGTATATTGCCTTGAGTCCATTTCTGGGTTCTCTATTCTGTTCCACTGGTCTATATGCCTGTTCTTGTGCCAGTACCAGGCTGTTTTGATTACAGTGGCCTTGTAGTATAACCTGAAATCTGATCATGTGATCCCTCCTACTTTGTTCTTCTGTTTCAAGATTGCTGTGGCTATTTGGGGTCTTGTTTTGGTTACATATAAACCTTTGGAGTGTTTGTTCTAGTTCTGTGAAGTATGTCGTTGGTATTTTGATGGGGATTGCATTAAATCTGTAGATTGCTTTGGGTAGTATGGACATTTCAATGATGTTCATTCTTCCAATCCATGAACAAGGTATGTGGTTGTATGTTATTGTATCTTCCTCTATTTCTTTTTTCAATGTCCTGTAGTTTCTGTGAAGAGGTCCGTTACTTCTTTGGTTAAGTTTATTCCTAGGTATCTTAATTTTTTTGGCACGATGGTAAATGGGATTGTTTTTTCAGTTTCTCTTTCTGTGAGTTCATCATTGGTGTACAAGAATGCTGTCGATTTCCTGACGTTAATTTTGTATCCTGCTACTTTGCCTAATTCATTTATTGAGTCTAGTAGATTTTTGATGGAGTCTTTGGGGTTTTCTACGTATAGTATCATATCATCTGCAAATAATGACAGTTTCACTTCCTCCTTTCCAATTTGGATCCCTTTTATTTTTTCTTCCTGATTGTTGTGGCTAAGACTTCCAGTACTATGTTAAATAGGAGTGGCGAAAGTGGGCATCCTTGCCTTGTTCCTGTTCTTAAGGGAAATGCTTTTAGTTTTTGCCCATTGAGTATGATGTTGGCTGTAGGTGTTTCATATATGGCCTTTAATGTTGAGATATGACCCCTCTATTCCCACATTGCTGAGCATTTTGATCAAAAATGGGTGCTGGATTTTGTTGAATGCTTTTTCAGCATCTATTGATATGATCATATGGTTTTTATCTTTCCTTTTATTTATGTGGTGTATCACATTTATTGATTTGCACATATTGTACCATCCTTGCATCCCTGGGATGAAACCCACTTGGTCATAATGAATAATTTTTTTGGTGTACTGCTGGATTTGATTTGCTAGTATTTTGTTAAGGACTTTGGCATCTGTGTTCATCAGGGATATTGGCCTATAGTTTACTTTCTTTGTACTGTCTTTATCCTGTTTTGGAATTAGGATTATGCTGGCCTCATATAATGAGTTTGGAAGTGTTCCATCTTCTTGGATTTTTTGGAATAAGCTGAGGAGAATGGGTGTTAGATCTGAAACCCTGCATTTCTAACGAGCTCTGAGCAGAGGCAGATGCTGCTGGTCCGCAAGCCACACTTGGAGCACCCAGGCTCCAGGGTGCGGACATGGAATGCATAATCCTACGGACAGGAGAAGCCAGCCATGCTAATTTTCCACGTGAGCGGGGACAGAACTCAGAGCTACCCCCCACACAAAAGCGATTCAATAAGCCAGGCCCGAAGAGTGCGGCTGCAGAGCCAGCCAGGCCCTCCTACCTCCACAGTCCTTCTCGTCGGACCAGTCCCCGCAGTCGTTCTCCCTGTCACACTTCCACCTGTTGGGGATGCAGTGGCCGTTCTCACACTGGAACTGGAAGTAGCGGGAGCAGCGTGGGGCTTCTGCAGGGCTTTCTGGGGACAGAGCACACCGTTGGTCCTCTGCCTGGCACCGGTGGACACAGCTCCCGTTCCCACACCTCAGCACCTGTCCCCAGCCCGCACGCCCCTCCAGAGAAAGACGAGGTAGCTTCTTGGACCCAGAGGGCGGCCAAACACACCCACACACTCAACAAAAGCCCACCCTCGCTGACCCAAACTCCCGTTTCTCCGACCCACACTTCTGTGTATCTTGAGAATAGTACCGAAGCTTTAAGTTCAGACACCTCACCAAAGGAACAGCCTCTCCCATGACTCCCCAGTGAGACAGCACAATGGTACCAACGATTACGTACTAGGTAATCACCTACTAGTTACACCTGGTTACCTATTAGTAACACCCACTGGGGGTCAGGATGCCAGTTCGAAACCCAGTCCCTCCCATGGTGACTCAAGGATTGGCGGGGAACACTCCGGGGGAGAGGGGAGAGGGGTGTGGAAGTGTGCTGGGCGTGTCCCCGGCTACGGGTGCGGAGCAGGGACCAGGAGGCGCAGACCTGAGCCCTTCTCGTCACAGCTGGCTTCGTCGGAGTTGTCGCCGCAGTCATCCATGCCGTCACACCGCCAGATCAGGCTGATGCACACGCCACTCTGACACCGGAAGCTGAACTCGTCACAGACCTTGCGGAACTCTGGGTCTTGGGCTAGACAGCAAACCAAGGTCCGTGAGGCCGGTCACCTGCACACCCCATGCGTCAAAGCGGCAGGCCGCTCGGAGACGCGGAAAGAGAGAAAGCCCGCCACCCAGGGCCGTCCAGCTGGGGAGTTCCGTGACGGCCAGTTTGGCTCAGCGGTTAGAGCATCGGCCACGGATCAGGGGATCCTGAGTTCGGTTCCCGCTAAGGGCATGTACCTGGGCTGCAGTCTGTCCCCGGCCCCGGCTGGGGTTGTGTGGGTGGCAGCAGTCGATGTGTCTCTCTCTCTCTCCTTCTCCCACTCTCCCTCCCACTCTCTCTGAAGATAGATGCAAAAATGTCCTCGGGTGGGGATAACATTTTAACTGTCAGTGACGGGAAAGCCTCATCCCGGCACCTCGGAATGTGACTGCACTTGGGGGCGAGGTCTTTAAACAGGTAATGAAGTTAAAATGCGGTTGTTAGGGTGAACCCCTAACCCAGTATGACTGATGACCCCTTAAGAAGTGATCAGGTCACAGTAGGCCCAGGGGAGGACCTGGGAAGACCCGGGAAAGAGGCCACTGGGCGTCAAGGCCACGGGCCTCAGAAGGACACAAAGTCGCCAGCACTCGGACCTCGGAACCCAGCCCCCGAACGGTGAGGCGATAAGGCGACAGTGTCTGCGGTGTACACCGTGCGGCCTGCGGTCCTCGCGCTGCGGCAGCCCGCGCAGACTCACACAGCACGCGCCACGGGAGGGCAGTTTCGGGAGCAGGGCTCACGCAGCGAACAAGAGAGGCCCGCTCTCGGGGTGCACACGCCCCAGAAAGGGAGACATGCAGGAAGCGAACACAGTGTGCGCCGTGGGACAGTGTTGTGAGGACCGCTGGAGCGGGCAGGGAAGGCCACTCCTGAGCCGAGGTCTCTCGGCCACCTTCCACCTTCCCTTCACACACCCCAGCAACTAGCAGGCACTGCTTCTGACACAGGAAAGGAAGGTCTCCCCCAGAGCGTGCAAGACTGGCCATGCCACCAAGCCCTGTGCCTGGGTGAGGGCCTCCCCACGGAGGCCCCGTGGCCCTGGCGGTTTCTGCGGGGCACCCCCCCCCCCCACTCACAGCATCCCGCGAACGCAGCGTCCTCGTCCGAGCCGTCGCGGCACTGCACGACCCCGTCACACACCATGGAGTGGAACAGGCACTGCTGGCGGTTCTTGCACACGAAGTCCATGAAGCGCGTGCAGAGGGGCTCTGCAAGGCAGCGGGGGCAGGCCTGAGCGCCGCGCGGGGCCCACGGGGCAGGCCTGAGCTTGGCGCTGACCCCTGTGCGGGGACAGGCCTGGGCCCCCTCTGGGCCCCCGCCAGCCTGCGTCCTGCCCCTGCTTCAGCATTCGCCCAGAAAGAGCAGTGCCAGCCACCACGACTGTGCGGAGCCCTGACCTAAAGGGACAGCCTTGAACTCTGAAGACAGTACTGTGAGAACTCACTGCCCTGCTTTCCCAGTGAGAAACGGGCAGCAGTGATTCTACAAGAGCACAGACTGGGGGAGAAGCAAGAACGAACCTTCAGTTGCCTGACGTCCAGCCCACAAGCTCAGCCACTATGGACACAACACAGCCGAGCCCAGGGCTTGGCGCACCACCACGAAGGGCCCGTGTCTGCACTGACCTGGACCCACCTGCCACCCCATTCCAGCGGTGAAGCCCATTCCCAATGTGACTGTGTTTAGAGGCAGGGCATTTTTAAAGATGCAGTTAAGATTAAATGAAATAAGTACAGTTATTTGAATGGATCGGGGCAGAGCTCGGACCCAACAGGGCCGAGTGTTCGTACAGGAAGAGACACCAGAGACGCCGTCAGCCTTCAGACCTGAGCTGCGGCACCGGCATCCCAGGGTCCCCAGCCCGCCAGCCACACCCAGGGGACAACTCCTCAGAGCACATGCGCACCCTGCAGGCCCCGTGTCACTGGAGACGGTTTCCCTCAGAGTCGGGTCCGCTCAGCTGAACGCTAACCACACGCAGTCACGGAGGAAAGGGAAGGACGCAGTCCAATGTGTGCTCGCTTCCCTCACGGCCACGGGCCCGGGGGAACTCACCGCACCGCTGCTCGTCCGAGCCGTCCGAGCAGTCCTGCAGCCCGTCGCAGTGCCTGCTGGGGGGGATGCAGGTGCCATTCGGGCAGCGGAATCCGTTGCACTTCTTCTCTGAAACGGGAGGCGGTGTTGGAGGCACGCACGGGGCACGGGGCACAGGCAGGCAGCACACGCTCCGAGGGGGCAGAGGTCTGTGCCCCCTCGGGACGGCCCCTGCAACAGCTATCACGGTGACACACGTACGTGCACTGTGACCCAGCGATGCCACTTGGAGAAGTGGTCTGCCCACACGCGAAGAAGAATGTGAGTACAAGTAGTCACTGCGACACGCAATAAACCACCTGCAAGTCCATCGCCGGGACCTCATGATGAACAGTCACTCGCTAGAACACTGACTGTTATGAGACAGACAGTCAGAGGGAAACAAGGGACAGACAGCAGGCGCCACATGTGGGAACCGACCAGAAGGCCCGCAGGCTGAGCTCACTAAGCGCTCAAACCACCCGGAAAGGATGCCTCACGGTTCCTGCCGGAGGGTGAAGGTCAAGGAGACGGGCAGACACGTGTCCACTGTGGAACTTGGAATTTTTTTCCATTTTGAACCATGTGAATGTGTCACTCATTTGAAAACTTCAAGTATATATCTTGTAAAAGTCAAAGCAAAGCCTCCATGAATGGTAAACACACATAAATCCTGGTTATAAACCAGTTTGCAAACTCTCTTACATCACACCCATCTTCATTCCTTTTTTGGGGGGGTGGGGGGGAGTACATGTCTGTAGCAGGAACCGAACCCAGGACTCTCGGGTCCACAGGCCAACGCTCCAACCGCTGAGCCAAACCAGCCAGGGCCCCATCTTCATTCTTTGGAATTCTGAGCCAAAGCCCTTCTGGAGAAACTGTCCCAGAAACGGTAAGAAACAGGTTTCTCACTGGGCAGAGAATTCTCATCGCAGGCCGCCCTTTGCCCTGGACAGACAGCGGCCGCCAGACGGGTGGCCGAACAGCAGCGCGAGCAGGTCGCCTGAGGCCTCTGCACGCACAGGTCCTGGTGGAGCAGCCCCACGGGTCGGCTGGAAGGCGACAGCACGGGCTTTCACCCTGCGAAGTCGCCGCTCCTGAGTAACTGGAGAGACAGCGCACAGGAACTGGGCGGCGCCACCGCGCGGAGCCAGGTCACTAAGTGTGAAAAGCTTTTTTAAAAGTATAAAAGTACACAAACTTGTGAAAGCAATTAGAAAGATAAAACGTAAGCCCTGGCCGGTTGCTCAGTGGTTAGAGCATCGGCCCGCAGACCAGAGAGGCCCGGGTTCGGTTCCCACTAAGGGCACAGACCGTGGTTGCGTTTGTCCCCAGCCCCGGTTGGGGCCGTGTGGGTGGCAGCCACTTGATGTGTCTCTCACATCGATGTTTTGCTCTCTTTTCCCCCTCTCTCCCTCCCACTTTGTCTCAAGATAGACACAAAAATGTCCTCGGGTGAGGATAAAAAAATAATAATAATTTAAAAAAAAAAGATAAAACATAATCCCAAGGGAGTCTTGGGGAAACACACAATATGTTGCTAATGGAGATGCTTTTTACTATAATCACTTGGAAATATAACGAAAAGCAATGGAATCCATCAGGACCTTTGACCCTGCAGTTCGTATTGAGAACAATCCCAGGAAGAAGTCGGCTTCGTAGCTAAAGGCCACACCGTGGCTGCAGACTCCGCCAACCTCAGACAGGAAACCACAGGTGGCTGGACCCAAAGAGGCAGAGCCCACAGAAATGGAGAGTCACCCTAGGCCCGGGGCACCCGCAGGTTTTGGTATCTGCAAGATGTCCTGGGACGGACCCCAGCGATACCAAGGGACCCCTGTCTCAGAGGAAAAGGAAGCCTTTGTTCCCCAGGACAAGGTTTCACTGTGCAGAACTGAATCTGCAAACACCTGACGCCCACCAGGGGGCAACCTAGGAGGGGTACAGTGAAGAGATGAGTGGGCACCTACCACAAACACCTACAGAAAGGACACAGACACACCCTTCATGCTGACGTGAAAGGACTGTGATGCAGAACCACACGCAGGCGATGCCTGCAGTTCTGTGAAAACTTGTGACGTATGGTATAAAATAATGAGAAATACATATACTGGTCTCTGCGTCTGGTTACTGGCACAGAGCTACCACAACCCCGGTGATTTCTGGGTGAACAGGAGTGTCTCATCCTAATGAGATGGCACTGGCAGTGCCTGGACAGCTTTAGGATGGGGGCTGGTCACCAGGAAAACTGCCCTGATACAGCTTAGAACTTCCCACCCTCCATCCTCCGGAAGGAGAGAAGGATGCAGATGAGTTGGTGGTTGATCACGTCTATGTGATGAAGATCCATAAAACCCCAGGAGTACAGGCTTTGAGAGCTTCCAGGCTGCTAAGCACAGGGAGGGTCTGGGAGGGTGGTGCCCGGACTGGGCAGGGAAGCTCCGCCCCTCCCCACACCTGGCCCTGTGCATTCCTTCCACCGGTAGGTATGCTCGCCTCGTCCTTCATCACAGCCTTCTGCAACCTTCGGCAGTGAACCAGAAGACCTAGTGTTTCTCTGAGTTCTGTGAGCCATTTTAGCAATTATCAAACCCAGGGCGGGAGTCGTGGGAACCCAGATGTACAGCTTCATTCTCCAGTCGGAAGTGCAGGTGAGCCTGGGACTCGGGACTGGCATCTGAAGGGGGCGGGGAGTGGTGCAGGACTGAGCCCTTCACCTGGGAGACCCGCTGCGTCTCAGGAAGAGTGTTTTAGTTAGTGCTGCAGGGTTTCCTGGTGGAAAACACCTGCTGGCTAAGAAGTGCCAGCACTCAGGTACTCCACCCAAGGTGGAGGGGAAACATCGGGGTTCTCCCTACAGACATGCAGCAGAAGGGTAGGCGCAGGGTGCCTTAAAAACATTTGGCATAAAGAATTGTGTATATTGTGTTGTTGTGGCAGCTACTTTGTGGTTAATGTCTATGATGAAGGTGGACTAGCTCAGAATATTTTAAAAAATCAATTATACTGAAAAATTCTGCTTTCAGGCTGGTAAACCGTTCCCGAGGACAGAGAACGCTTGTCACAAGGTGCGCTCCTTAATCCGAGCTGGGGCTGATTCCGGCAGAACACCGGCTGCGTGACTGCGTGTGCACCCTGGGTGGGCTCGGCGGCGCCCGTGTTTGTCCACAGCGGTTGGGAAGAGCACGAGGCCACAGGCTGGCCTGAGAATGAAGCCTGCACCGACGGCAAAGCCACGGAGGGCGGGCAGGCAAGCGTGGGCACACGGCCCAGTTTCTTCCCGGACAGCAGCAATGAGCAGCTCCAGGCCAGACCCACAGCACCCACACTTACCACAGACGCTTGGGTCCTCGTCAGAACCGTCCTGGCAGTCCATGTCGCCGTCACAGGCCCACCGCTGCGGGATGCAGTGCCCGTTGAGGCACTGGAAGTTGGAAGCCTCGCAGGTGTGGTACACGGCTGCCAACGAAAGGGGAGAGGGGGCCGTCAGTGCCCTCCCCACTGCCAGCCAGCAGGGCTGCCCACGAAGGGCGGTGCTGGGTGACACGGTGGGACTGTAAGCATCTCGCTTCTCCTTGGCCAGGTGTGGGCACCTGGCGCACAGCCTCCTGATCGGGCAACGACGTGAGTCCGTGGGATTGTAAATGTCACAGTTACGTGTTCGAAAGCTTCCACTTCCCACCTCGACGGAATAATCGTTCCCCTCCTGCGGCTGGAACCGGGCTGAGGGAGTGAAGGAACCGGCCCGCATTCACGAAGGTCAGTGTGCGACGGCCCTGGGGCTGTCCGGGTTCCACTCGCCCTTGCCGCTGCCTTCCCCCCAAGCCCCACTCCTCCAGACTGCAGGCGAGCAGACCTGTCCGCCCACCACCGAAGGCCTCCGGTCCATCGACTGCATTCCTGTCTGAGGACCCCTTTAAGCTCAGAAAGGCCATGATTTTATAAATCTAAGTAAACCACCCAATTTGCAATGTGGAAAACCTCAGAACCAAAGTCACAGAGCAAGCAAGCCCCGGCTCCTGTGACTGCCTCGCCTTCTGGACCGTCGAGAGCAACATCCACCAGGCGACCACGATGCCCGACGTCCACTGCAGCCATCCAAAGAAACTAGAAGCGAGTGAGACGGGGCCCCTATAGATGGACAGCTGCATCCGCACACAGGGGCCGAGGCCACCTGGGAACCACTTAGGAACAGCTCAGAGCCTTGGTCAGAGAGCAGGTCGAACGCGAAACATCTGCCTCACACCCAACCAGCGCTGCCACCCACCCTCTCCGTTCATTCCCCGTCTTCCTCCGAAACAGTGCGGTGTCTGCTCCTTCCTGAGGGAAGCCAGGACCAACGCGTTACCACGGGCACGAGACAACAGAACACATCACACGGGCTTGCTGTCAGCGTCACTAGGTGGGCAGGAGGAGGAGGCACAACAAACAGGCGAGTTCCTGAGCTACATACTCAGTTGAGACGGTTCGCACTGCGCTACTCAAGGGCCCGAGAACTGGGTGTCCAGGGCCCTCCAGAACCTCTGCTGATTCCGAGGCTATTTCTGCAGTCGTCTGAAACACAGAGAGTCTGATTCTTCCAGCCACTTTAAAACCAGTGGTGGTCTGTTGCCTGTTGTCTCCGTATGTGTCCGAAGACCACAGCTCTCCGAGAGCTCGCCCACCAGGTCACAGTCTCCGTGTGTCACGGGCTTTGACATTCCAAATTCAAGAAAAGTGTTTGCAACACACGGACCTCTGACACACGAGTGAGTGTACCATACACGCTCCAGGAGCCTTTGCCCAGGAACAGCACAGCCTGGAAACACACCCCTCCGTTTGCTCTGCCAGTCTGAGAACTTACTGCGCGTGCTGCTGTGGACACAGTGCGCAGAGACAGGGAACATGTTAAGAATGCACGTGAGACGTCTAAGAGCATCAGCTAAAAGCACAGACATCACGTTTAAGCTCAAAGCCAATGCCGAGGGGTGGGAAAAGGGAACACACAACACCCACTCCACAGAAGCGAAAGGGGGGAGAGGAGGGCAAACGGCACAGACCACACAAGTGAGCTGAGATCAACAGGAAGTCGGCGGGCCCCACGTATATCCTCTGGCCTTGCACGTGACTTAATTATTAGGTCAGGAAATGAAGCGACAGGTGGCACATCTCAATAAGCTCACATCTGACCGCAGACTCTGCTGAGTTTGGAAGAAAAGCCCCAGAACAAGGCTGCAGTCAAGAGGCAAGCCCTCGACATGGTCGGTGGGGCTCTGTGACAGGCCCACCCCCAGAAACGAAGCTCACTCACCCTGAAAGACCAGCCTGCTGCTGGAACAGGAGTCTGACGAATGGGGCTGTGCTAGCAAGATGTTCAATCCCCCCGACTTACACACTGAAATGCCCAAGTGCCTCCATCAAATTTATTAACCAGTGACCCCCACACACACCCAAAGCCTCCAAACAGCATCCGCAGGCTTCCTGGGATGACCACGTGCCTTGGTGAAGCGTGGTTTTCCTCCTTCTTCAGGCCAGGCCTGTACGAGGACAGAAGCCTTCCCTGTGGCCCCCAGAGGCAGGGGTGCAGACACCGAGACGAGGTGGGAAAGGGTATGCAGAGGTTCACAAGGGACGGAAGTCTGGCAGCATCGCCATCACCCTGTGTGACGTACGTGGCCCTGGTAGAGACACACTTACTCCTCAAGGCCACCGAAGGCTACGTCTAGTCTAAAGTGACTGGAGAGAAGCAGGTGCGTAGAATCACGCAGTCAGCAAAGGCTGCACCAATCCTCTGCCAGGTACTGCACGGTGGGCACAGGCACATGCGCAGAAGGGGCCCTGCAGGAGCCCTGTCTTTCACAAGCGCAGCAGTTCTTCAGCTTGAGTTGAAGATGGGAAAGCAGACCTAAATACTTTGTATCACTTTTACAAGTAAGACCTAAATACTTTGTATCGCTTTTACAAGTAAGACCTAAATACTTTGCATCGCTTTTACAAGTAAGACCTAAATACTTTGTATCGCTTTTACAAGTAAGACCTAAGTACTTTGCATCGCTTTTACAAGTAAGAACTAAATACTTTGCATCGCTTTTACAAGTAAGACCTAAGTACTTGGCTTCGCTTTTACAAGTAAGCGGTGGACAGGGTCCTGGGGACTGTGCGGCAAGATGACGAAGATGGGATTCAGGAGTCAGGCCACTATTTCAAAGAGTAGTGATCCATGCTGGACGAGCGAGACGCTGCCCGATGCCGAGTGAACTGCAAACTGGGAGGGACAGCGGCCGAGTGGGTGGCAGCAACACGCACCCCCTCCCAGCACCAAACTGGGATCGCACCTTCACTGCCCAACAATCAGCCCGAGCAAACAGCTGAAGACCAGCTGAATGGAATCTAGGACTGAGGACCTGTGGAAGCCATTCGACCCTGGGGGGAGGAGCTGAGGTTTGCAAGGTGGCCCCACACCCACGGCTGAGGCTCTGGAGGGAGAGCTCAGCTGCCAAGGTCCCCCGAGGAGGAGCGTCTCTGCCCCATGCCAGGCTCCCAGCCTGGAGCACCAGAGCCGGGATTTTGTCCCCAGAGAGACAGGGTCTGATGAGAAAGCTAGGTGCCCTCTTAAAGGGCCAGTGCACCAAAGCTCGTTTGTGGCCGCTCACCCCGGACTGTGGTGGAGGGAGGGTGGCCCTGAGAGGACTGGAGTGTGGGGAAGGCTGGGCTGTGTCTCTGTGCCAGGGGCCACTTACCCTCCCACACACAACTGGCCACGGTCCCAGTGAAGAGTCCACCCTTCACACAGCCAAACACTGGTCTGTTTCACCACAGTGAACTCTCTGACCTCTCCCTGAGAGCCCGCCCCACCACAAGTCCTCTGGGCGCCCGGCAGGTGGCAGCTGGCCTTGGGGAACCCTGGAACTACTGCGGAGTGGCCTCAGACCCAGCACTGCACCAAGTTCAAGTCTGTGTCCACCTGGTGAGCTCAGGGAGAACCTACCTTGTACAACTCGCCAACTGCATATCACCAGAGGCTCCTTCAGTGACTGAGCCCAACAGGCAGATGGCAGGTGAGGGCGCATCTCAATGTCCTTGGACCTTCTGCTGAGCTGCCCCAGGTTCGAGGCCAGCTCCACCACTCCCACGCATGCCAGGCTGGGCACAGGACGCCACACACTGTGGATGGCTCTGCTGCTCCAAACAGGCAGCCAGGGTCAGTCCCAGGCAAACCCGATATTGACCTGTACTGGAATCCCTCACAAGTAGCCCCAAAATCAAAAGATCCAGTGGTGGGGTTCAGACCACATCAGAGCACGACCCAATCAGCTCCACAAGCAGCGGACCCAAAGGGAGATCGCTGAAGGCACCAGACCCTGTCGGAGCAACTTCTGTTTTTCAGAGTAAAGCCCTGCTCACCAGCTCATGCACTGTGATCAGGTCCATCCTCACAGCCAGCGGAGGGTTGATACCAGCCACAGACAAGCCAAGTTCAGTCAAGACTCACCTGCAACAGGAGGGCTCACAGATCCCACAGGAGGGACACTCCTGGAGCACATGGCTCAGGTGACCAGAAAGACTGCCACTGAGCCACACAGGATACCACCTATGACCAAAACTCAGAGACACAGAAGATCTACCACATACACAGAAACAAACAGAGAGGAGGCCACAATGAAGGGACAAAGAAATATGCCCCAAAGGAAAGCGTAGAAGAAATCTCTAGGAAAAAAATGAAATGGAGGCAAGCAAGCTACCAGATACAGAGTTCAAAACAATGTTTGTAAGGATGCTCAAGGAACTCAGTGAGAACTTCAACAAGAGATTAAAAAACAAAATACACACAACAAAAAGAACCACTCAGAAATGAAGAATACAATATCTAAAAAGAATACACTAGAAGAAATCAACATCAGGCTAGATGAAGCAGAGAACAGATTCAGCAATTTGAAAGACAAGGTAGCCCAAAACACCCAATCAGAGCAACAAAAAGAAAAAACAATTTGGGAAAAAAAAAAATGAGACTAGTTTAAGGAACCTCTGGACAAAATGAATCATATCAACAGTGGCATGACAGGGGTACCAAGCAGAAGAGAAAGATGATAAAACTGAAAACATATTAAAATGGCAAGGTTAAAGACAAAGAGAGAATCTTGAAAGTAGCAAGAGAAAAGCAGTTAGTTACCTATAAGGAATAAGACTGTCAGCTGATTTATCAAAAGAAACTTTATAGGCCAGAAGGGAGTGGCAAGAAATATTCAGTGATGGAAAGCAAGGACCTACAACCAAGATTACTCTGTCCTGCAGAGCTATCTTGTAGAATCAATGGACATATAAAGAGCTTCCCAGGCAAGAAAAAGCTAAAGGGGTTCATCACCACCAAACCAGTATTACATGAAAAGTTAAACAGTCTTCTTTAAGAAGAAGAAGAAAAATAGGGAGTATAGTTTTAAAGAATAAAATGAAAATAAATATGTCCCTATCAATAACCACTT